CTGGATTACTTCGTAGAAGATATCTCATTTGCGCACGGGGAGGCCGAGGGCTGGGGAAGTAAAGTCGTGCTGCTGGGTCTTGGGCTGAAAGCCTCGCCCTGCCGCGCGCTCTCTTTCCAGCGATGGCTCTGCCGCTGGGACCACCCCTGAGGGTGCAGCGGGCAAGCGACCACCCACTGGGCCTCTCTGGAGCTTAGGGGTGCTCCTGCCGCCTCTGCAAGACCTCCTTTACTGCTATAGATGTTCCTCGTTTTTCTCGGGTGGAATTTGAAAGGCCCATTCGGACGTGTGCTCATAACCATTTGTCCTTGAGAGAGGGAAGCCTTTTGACATCCCGAAAGGAAGGAAAGAGGAGTGAGAAAACGGAATGCCTATCCTTGTTTTCCTTTTTGATGTTTGGCATCTAGTAAGTTCTTCTTGTTGTCTAACTTGACATGAAAAATCTGTTACACTGTGCAGTTTAGTGGCAGAAGGAGAGAACCCCAGCGAGGCATTCTGTGTGCCGACTTAATCCTGAGGATTTCGGAGCTCTCAAAAGGCAGGGGGAAGCCCCTGAGCCTTGCTTCATTCCTACTCCCTTGAGCTATCTTTACCGGGAATGGGAGAAGTAATTTAACTTGCAACTTAAGCAAGGGCTGTGGGAGGCCCCTGAGCTCATCTCGAGGAGAAAGGGGATATTTTTGCCTTCTAGAGGAAGAAAACTCATTTTCCCAGTGCACCTCACCCCCTCCTCCTCCTGTGCGGATGAGCTTAATTTTCTTCCCCTCCTACCGAAGATGGATCAAAGCCAAGCTATGTATTCAGAGGGGAGCCAGGCAGGGAAGCCGAGTGAGGGGGCGAGGGGGGCAGAAACAGCTTCTCTCATGGAGAGGAAGTAATTAATTTTAAGACAGAGCTAAGATAGGGAAGCCCTTGGTGATAGAATGTTAAACTCCAAATGCAGGTGGTTAAGAATTAAATCAGAGCATGGAGAGTTTTTTTTCTATTCATTTATTCAAGAAATATTTATGGAGGACCTACTATGCACAGGCAGGACCCTCAAGCGGGCATTAGGAGGGGGCCCAGGTCTCCATGACCCAAGCGGGGCCCAAGTAACCAAATTAGGGACGGGGAGAGGGTGTGACCTAAACACCGAGGACTGCTGTCACCAGGGTAAATCATTTGCAAAAGTCCTACTAAACGGCTGAATATGTTGACCTTTTGGATTTAAGATTAGCTGTTGACTCCAGTGATACGCAACCGGCTTGTCCCGTCTCGGGTGCAGTAATGGTGTTGTCTGTTTGCTGTTCCATTCACTGATTGCATTGTTTCCCGACCGGTTTCTGCACTCATCCCAAAAAAAATTAGATTAGCCCCTCCCTTTCAGTGTCTGTTGTGACATCACAGAATTTGCCATGGCAACAGACTATGATGTCAACAGAATGCCGGGTGCTGCTAAAAAAGAGCCACGTTAGTCAGAAAGGAATCTGTCATGTGAAGGCAAAATAGAATAATATAGGAAGCCAGAGGAACTGCAATTCGGTATCAAAAAGAACATGTTGGCAGCGTGAGGCAGCAGTGGGTCTGGAGCCTGCTTTGCCGGCCCACTTCACAGACAGCCAAGGCGCTTCTCGGGGACTGGAGAGTGGCCGTGCCTGGAGGCAGGGGACGGGCAGAGACGGCTGTCAGAAGGCCTTTGCAATCCAGGGATCCTAAGACGCAAGGGCATTAGGAAAGGGGGAGATGTCACCATCTTTGGCCTCCGGAGAATTCAGGGGCATTAACGTCAATACAGACCTCCTCGCTCCTGAGCAGATCTGACAGTCACCAGCTGGAATTTATCATCCTGCAACTGGGAAGGTTTTCAGCAGTAAACACACAGTGACCCCCCTCTCCAGCCCCATTCGCTGCCCTCTTCCTCGCAGCCCTTAGGAGGAAGCTTTCTTGAAATTCTGCCTGAGCGAAGAAGCCCAAGCCTTGGCACCAGCCCTGGGTCCACCAGGTCCACGCCCATCTGCCCGCCTTGCTCGCGGGAGCCGGACCCCCGTGCGCGCAGGGCGCGGGGCGGGCGGCCGGGTGCCGTGTCTGAGGGCCGCGTGCCGGGGGGACGGTGGCAGAGGAGCTTCCCTCATTCTGCTCCCGTCCGCATGGAAGAAGGCTGGGCAGGCTGAGAGAGGAGACTCACTCAGTCAGCCTTGGCTTCTCAGCGGCGGCAGCGATAACAGCCAGTGGATCCGGAGCTTCGTTTAACCCTTGTGCCCAGGGATCCGGAGAGTCTCCGAGAAGCAAGTTGCTTTCCAGCGCGAGAGCCCGTGCTCTGGGCTGGGAGCTGGGGAGGCAGGAGGACGGCGTCCCTGCAGGTCGGGCTGGCGCGAGTTTCCGCCGTGCAGATGGGAACGCAGCCCCGGACTCCTCCGCCCGCCCCGCTCCTCCGTGTCCTTAGCTCAGAGAGGTCGGACTACCTGGAAGCGGCACACCTGCTCTGCTAGCGCCTGCCTCTCCGCCTCAGCGCTTCCGCCTTTCGGATCTGAGCCGGGAGCATGTCGTCCCCTCCTTGCTCATTCTGCCTCCAGTACTCTGGTCGCATCCTGGCCGGATGTTAGGAAGTCACAGGCCTCCTAGGGCACCTGGGCGACCCCTGCCACCACCCAGGAAGAGCCCTCGGCCCCTTCTCCCGTGCCAGAGCCGGGAGGAGGGGGCAGCCGGCAGAGTCCCCGCCGCCGCTCGCCCCGCGTGTCCGCCACAGCGTTCCGAGGTGGACCGGAGGACTTACTTCCCGGAGGGATGGTAGGAGCAGGGTGGCCGGCGGGTCCTCTGAGGCTGCCAAACTGGGGACGGAGCTGCCAAAAAGATGTTGAAGTTTCGGGCTGATCGACGGGTCAGGTAGGGATGCCTTTCGCGGACCAGGAGCCGGGTTAGGTCCGAGCAGGCTGAGTCGGCAGCTGGCCCGGGGCGGATCCGGGGGGCTTCCGCGTGAGGGGCCTGCCTGCGAGGACTGGGAGGAGGAAGTGTAGCTAGGTCAACGGGTGCTGCATTGCAGTGCTTTTTGAAGGGGAAGCTATTTTGAAATTGGTCGCGCCGGGACGGAGAGAGGACGTCATGTGTAGGGGTTGCTGGGTAGGAGAGGCTCGGGCAGGGAGAGCTGTGCCGAGCCCTGGAAGACTCGTGGTGTTGGCAGCAGCCCGTGTGTGCTTCTGTGCGTGTGTCTGCCTGTAACAGGGTCTGCAGGGAGGATTCCAGCAGCTACCACTGGGGACACGCGGAGCAGGAGGAGATTGGAGGGTTGGGGCGGGGGGCGGGTGCTCCGAGCCACTGGGAAAAGGCAGAAAACTCGGCACCTGGGGTATCTCCGTTGTCACAGACCGCCTGCCCCCTAGACTCCGAAATGGGGCAGAGCCAGTGGCCAGGATAACTGGAAACAGCTACCCTTCCTTGCAGAGACGCCCTGTGCTTAAGTCAAGAGCATCCCTGTTGGGCCTGGGAGGGAGGTGGGAATAAAGTTTGGATGTGTGGGGAGCGGACCTGTGCTAGACTCAGGACCCAGGCCTGGTGGGCTCTGGCCAGAGTCGGGGTCCTCGCTGGCGAGCCCGGGCTGCAAAGCCCAGATTTCTACGTGGACTGTGGCTGTTGCCTGCCATGCTTCCAGCTCCTGCCTGTCTTTGGGTCAGATCTGAACAGGACTGCTCTTTGGAAGCTGCAAAAACACCCTTTGATATTATCTTTAGCTTCAGCAGACAGCCCGGCGGCTGCGATGTGTTCTGGGCTATTGAAAGGGGGTCCCTAAAAGGTTATTTTACTTCTCTTACGCAGCTGGAAGGGACCAAGCTGGGGTCCCCTCCCTCTGCTGCCGAGTGTCAAGCAGAGCTGGGGCCCCGTGCCGCAGGGGGCGCTCCAGTGGCCCAGGCTCAGCAGCCTGGCGCCTGCTTCTCAGGGTAGACCGAGCCCTGCTCTGGGCTCTCACGGTATTTCTCGAGAGGGATGGGTGAAGAGGACCTTGAAACCCACCTAGTCCCGCCACTGGCTGGATGCTCTAGCCTCCACTACTACGTTCTCGCCAAGCGGGCCCCACTTAAGACTCCATCCCAGACGCTGCCGTCTGTGGCTTAGCCCCGTGGCATCAGCCCCCTCCAAGCTCTGTCTGCTGCCTCCCTCTGTCTCCCCGAGAGCCCACTGGGGAGCTGCCCTGACATTCAGGCAGCCAGCAGCGCCCCGGCAGGACTCCCCAGAGGAGCCCCCATGATCCCGCTCCCCATCTGCCTGTGCGCACAGCCCCCTCCCCTGCTACGCTGCCTCCTGTCTCCTGGCCGGCTGTCCTCACGCCACCCCACCCCACCCCACCGCCGGCCACAGCGTCCCTTAATTAGGTCTGACTGTCGAGCCAGCGCTGACCTTCAAGCCTGGCAGCTCCTGAGGTCCCGGCCACATCGAGTAGCCCTGAGACCCCGGGCTCGGGCTGGGGGAGGGTCCCCGCCCAAGCTTGAGAGTGGAGTTTCTGGATCTCCCATCTCCTTTTAGGAAGGAGATGGAGCGTAAAGCAGGAGGAGGAGGAGTTCAAGGTCGAGAGCGAGTTCTTTCAGCAAATAATGAGAGAGCATTTTTTACGTGTAGCGCTGGCAGGCTGGTTGCTGGGGGAGAACCTGCCACATGTGAAATCCCGACAACCGTGAATGGCATTTGGACCCCCTCCCCCACGTCCTCCCCACACCTGGGATGGTCACTGACAGAGTTAGGTGTGGCCAATTTCCAGCGCCAGGGATCTGTAGGAAGTGGTTAACGCTGACTAGTGAAAGGTGACCAGGTTTCATTTCTTCTTCCTCCCACCTCCTGCCCACACCCCGGCCGCAGCCAGCCCAGCCTTCCCTCGAGCCTGCCGCAGGCCCCACCGGAGGACAGGGACACGAGCTCCTTTCGTTGTCACCTGTCCCTGTCCCTGTCTAGGGCTGCACAGCCAGCCATTGGCTCACGTCTCTGCCTCCTTCATCTAAACCACGACTTCCCTCTCTCTCTCTCTACCTCCGCAGCCACAATGAAAGACGGAACACATTCCTACACCCAGTGACCGGCCAGGTCCCAGAGGAAAACAAAAAATTTGACTTGAAAACGTAAGTTCGCCCCCCACTTGCTGTTGGCTTTTCCATCCTTAACCGCCACCATCCCGCTGCCCCCTGGCCGCTGGGAAGGAAGGGGAGCAGAGGGATGTGGGGTCACCCCAGTTCTGAGGACCAGAAGCTTCTGAGGCCCATTTGGCTCAATGCTCTCATCCACTTGTCCTGGGGTCCCAGGTGGTCACACCCTGTAAGCTGAGCCCTTGGAGCAGAAGACAGGTGTGGGGGTGGCATGTCACCTGGGGCCTTCCGGAATCACCATGACAGCCAGATGCTAACTCCTGCCACCATGTGTCCTGGCTCACTGAATGAGAGGGGGAAGAAAAAAAGAGGATAATTGATCACCTCTCATAGGCCACTGGGCCATTAGAAGAAAAAGGAGTTCTGGAGTCCCAGGGTCTGGGTTTGTAAAATAGCCGCGTAGGCAAGAAAGAGGAGCATGTGCAGGATCACTGGCATGTGATCTCAGAAGAGCCAAAGGAGCGGCCGAGATGACCTCCCAGTGGCACTCGGGAGGTCTGTTTCGGGGGACAGCGGGTGGCCGGGTGGAGAAAAGGGATGGGCAGTGTCCACTGTTTCTTGGCTCTGACCGGTCTCTTTCTTCTGTTCCATCTGAAATCAGATCGGCCTTGGACATGTCCAATAAAACAGGTGGGAAACGCCCGGCTACCACCAACAGCGACATATCCAACCACAACATGGTGTCTGAGGTCCCTCAGGAGCGGCCCAACATCCGGGTAGGTCCAGCCCTGGAGGCAAGCTGTGGGGCAGGAAATGCCTTCAGTGCACGGTTAGTGGGGTCTTGGGGCATGCTAGGAAATCCTCGCCTGCCCAGCTATTTCTGCGGGCTCCAGAGAGCACGCTCGGGGACCCAGGGGGAGAGTGAAGAAAGAGCAGGAAGGGAAGAGGGCTCAGAGCAGAACATTGTGGAAGACCAGCATCTAGACCAGGGGTTCTCAAATGAGCGCTGTTAGCCGCCGGGGCCGGATCATTCTCTGTGGTGTGGGGCTGTCCTGTGCATCGTGGGGCATCCCCGGCCTCTACCCACTAGATGCCAGTAGCGCCGCCCCTCTGGCTGTGACGACCAAATGTGTCTCCAGACACTGTCAGATGTCCCCTGGGGACGAAAGAGCCCCACCCTCATTGAGAAGGTGTGATCTAGAGGGACAGTCACGAAAGACATGGCAGTTGGAGAGCTAGAGAGGGAGGAGGAAGGAAGAGAGAGCCTCAGGAGAAAGAAATCCAGTGAAGAATGTTGCAAAAAGGGCAAGTCAGACGAAAGCTAAAAGTGTTCCTCGGGCCCACAGTGCGGTCACTGCAGACCCCGGCAAGCGCGGTTTGACGGGGGATGGGAGAGGGAGGTAGGAACGGTGAAGTGTAGAAACTGCTCTTCTGAGAAGCTGGACAGTCAATGGTGGTGTGTTCGTATAATGATGGAGTGCTCTCCAAAAATTAAAACGAACCGGAGCTATGTGTATGAGCAAGGATAAATCTTGAAAACACAAATGTTGAGTAAAAAGCAAGTTGCAGAATATGGAAAACGTGATGCCATTTATGCAAATGCACAAACACGAAAAGCAGAGCCACGTATCTATGGCAACGTCTGCAGCCCAGGCATATACCCGTGGGCAGGAAGAAGAATTTGGGGTCAGCAGTTGCCTCTAGGTAGGAAGAAAAGGTAATGAGATTGGGAAGGGGCTCGAGGGAGTTTTAGCTCCACCGACTTGCCTTGTTTTGTCAGGGAAAAACATCACAACGTGATGAGCCTCAGATTATCCCCTACTTTGCTGAAATGTTTGAAATATTTCAAAAAAAGTGTTTTGAAACTCGGCCGTGAAGGGAAGTGGGGGTAGGGGATGGAACCAAGAAGGTAATGCAAGATGGAAGGGGGTTTTGTTGGTTAGTTTTGTTTTATTTTAAGAAGTCAGAGGTGTGAGGGGAATGAGCCAGGGGACAGGCTCGGGGGGAAAGGGGACAGCCGGCAGGTCGCTTCTGTGGAGACAGAGGGATTCAGATGCAGACGGGGAACAGGGCACCCCTTCCCGGGGCTGCACGAGAGAGAGGGTGTGTGGCGCTGGGGGCGGCTGTCCAGGAACTGAGACACCCCTGCCTGAGGTCCTCCCCTCGTGCAAGGTAGGGTTGGGTGGTGGGGTGCTCCAGGTGGGGGCCTGGGGGCTTGAGGACATTGAGGAGCAGGCATGGTGGTCACAGGGACACAGGGAACGTTGCCCTATCATCCCGGGGGCATTGAGGCTGTAGACTGTGACTCTCTGTGGCCGCAGTCTGCAGGCTTCCGTGGTTTCCCTCCAGCAAATGCTCGTAACCCGGCTGTGGGAGTGGGGAAGGCGGGTGTGTAGACTCCCCTCGGTCGCCGGGGCAGAAAGATGAGGCCAGGATATCGAGGGGCTGGCGGGAGGGCGCCTGGAGTGGTAAACCAGGGGAGCAGCTAGCTTCCAGGCTATGGAGAGGACGGACGGAGGGATTTGCATGTTCTTAGGGTGGTGAACGACTTCTTCAGATGGTGAGTCTCAGCCGCTATATGTGGGTTTTTCCTAGTAATGCTCAGAAAGTAATTTTATTTACCGGGTGTGGGGTTGCTTTATAACAAAGCCAGGTTGCTTCTTTCCTCCTTTCTATTCTAGAGAAATTTACTGAGTGCGTGTTAGGGCCGGACACCTTGCTCTGGCGACAAAGAGATGAACAAAGCAAAAGCTCCTCCACCGCGAGGAGCGGGCTGGGCGGTGGCGGCGACAGAGGCCGGGGCTGCACCCCGCACAGCGCGGCGGGGTGCGGGCGGTGCAGGGCACCGAGGGGAGGCGCAGCCGGCTAAGAAGCGTCCGGGAGGTTTGGGGGAGGCGGGGAGGCTGCGGCAGACTCTAAGGATGAGCTGGGATCTGTCAGGAGGCAACAGAGGATGGGCCTGTGCCCCCAAGCCTCCGTCCGCCAGGCGGGAGCAGGGTGAGCAGAGGCACGGGGGACGGGGGAGGACCAGAGCGGGCCCGTCCGGCGAGGGGGCAGCAGGTGGGTTATAGGCCCGGCCGGGTCTCACGGGCCCGTCCTTGGGTGCTGTGCTGGGGCATTGGAACTCGCTCGGGTGCTCGTGAGAAACGCTAAGCAAGAGAGTGACAGGATCATGGGATGGACAGCAAGAAGAGATGAGGACCTGCGGGGAAATAACAGTGGGATGGGCGAGGTAAGAGCGGATTTGAGAACTGTTACGCAGATAGACTCATGAGCCCTTTGTGAATGACCGTGTAAAGGAACGGGGGAAGGAGGGACCCGTGCGAGGCCATTCAGAGCGCTGGCGCGGGCGGCTGGGTGGATTATAGCACCACTCGCCAAGAGGAGAAATGCAGAGCTACAGGCTTGTTAGAATGAGTTTGGTTGTGTGCTTATTTGATCCTGGTCAGACGACCCGTTACGAAATAGACCGGAGCTGGGGGAGAGGTCCCAGGCAGAGGTCAGGGGAGTTTTGTCGTGTGGCCGGCAGTGGAAGCGATGGCACGGATGAGAGCACACAGGCACAGCGTCTGAAGAGCAGAAGGGAAAGGTAGCACGGGTTTGGTTGGCGTCCACCAGCACTCAGAGTGGACGAAGGGAAGGTGGAGAAGGAGTGGCCACAGACGGAGACCTCGAAAAGAAAGCAGTGGTGTTGCAGAAACCGAAAGAAGAGTTTCAGGAAGGATAGAAAGGTTGACACCGTCCATTGCTCTAGAGTGGTCAAGCACTGAGTGGCCTTAAATCAATGGCGTTGGCCGGGCGCGGTGGCTCACGCCTGTAATCCTGGCACTCTGGGAGGCCGAGGCGGGCGGATCACTCAAGGTCAGGAGTTCAAAACCAGCCTGAGCAAGGGCGAGACCCCGTCTCTACTATAAATAGAAAGAAATTAACTGCCCAACTAATATATATAGAAAAAATTAGCCGGGCATGGTGGCGCATGCCTGTAGTCCCAGCTACTCGGGAGGCTGAGGCAGGAGGATGGCTTGAGCCCAGGAGTTTGAGGTTGCTGTGAGCTAGGCTGATGCCACGGCACTCACCCTAGCCTGGGCGACAAAGCGAGACTCTGTCTCAAAAAAAAAAATCAATGGCGTTGCAACAGCCGTTTCAGAAAAGAGGTAGAGGAGGTTCAGGGGTGCTGGGAGGAAAGAAGGGGGAGGTTCTCTTCCCAGGAGCCCCACCTGGAGAGAAAGCGAGGAAAGGTGTCACCCCACGGTGGACAGGGGGTGTAGGGCCGAGGGGGAGTTCAGGCTTGCCTGGGCGAGTGTGGGAGACAGAGACGCTCTAAGCGGGAGAGACTGGAGCCCATTTGCTGGGGGTCCTAGCGAGGAGGACACATCACAGACACACGTGCGGGGAGATGATCCCGGGAGGAGTCTCAGAGGAGATTGTGAGCCTTGGCAGGGAGGGCGACACCTCTTCTTCTGACATTGGAAGGGAAGAGCAAAGACGGCGGGAAGGGCGGTCATTTTCTGGATGAAAGGGTGTGAAATTGAGGAAGAGCGTGTCTGATGAGCTCAATTTTCTCTGGAGGAGCCAGGTCCACTGTGGGGTGGGGGTTGGGGTGGTCAGAGGCTGGGGGGAATGGGGCGGGTGCGGGGGCCGGTTGCCGTCTGGGGCTGAGCCCAGCTGCGCTTGGGGACAGCGTTGTCTGTCCTGCGGTGCGGTTTGCCCCCCAGCAGCACCGTGATCTGGCTGCGAGCGCAGGCAGACGTGGGTGATGTGATTGATTTGGAATACTGCACTGGGTTTTAAACAAGATGCAGCAGAAAGACAGTAGAGGGGGGTTTTGATAGTCCACCGTGGGACCCAGGCCTTGCAGGGAAATAACCAAAACCGAGAAGTAGCTGACGGGTCTAAAAAGAAAGGGGAGAGTCGGGGGGCAGGGGACTTCGATGGGTGGAAAAGCCGGTGTAGGCGGGCAACGGAGGGAGAAGCCCCAAGGGTGGAGGGTTGCAATCAGACAGCGGGACTGCAAAGATGGAAGATGGTAGGGGCTAGGGGCTCTCGTGCCACAAGGTGTAAGTGGAGCCCTGGGGCGAGCAGCTGGAGGGAGGAGGAGGAGGAGGCTGGAGCTGAGGACGCCAAGGCAGTGTCAGGTTGGGCCACTGGGTGGGCCACCCTCAGGAGCAGTGATGCTTTCCACGGTGGCTGGGACTTGTAGGAAGAGGCTGACGTCAAGATCCTGAGACTCTGGAAGAATGAAGAATGATCTAGAAGCTGACAGTGATGAGAAGGGTCAAACAGTGGGAGGTCAGGCAGCAATGCTCGCAGACAGAGTGCTGCCAGAGCGTGGAAGAATGACAGAGTCCTTGCGGCAGTAGGAGGAGAAAGCCCGCCTGTCCTCCCGGCTCAGTGCGTGCCAGGCGGGAGAGGGCACGGAGACCTCCGCAGGGACAGAGCCGCGGGAGTTACAGTGAAAGAGGCGGGGGTGGGGAGGGTGGGAAGACAGGCCAGGAGTGAAGTGCAAAATCCTGTTATTTTCTTCTCAAAAACAAAAACAAAAAAGCTGTGAGACAGGTAGGTAGGACTATGATGTTATTTTTTTCAGGACTATTATTTTGAGCCCCATTTTATTTATTTTGTTTATTTATTTATTTATTTATTTTTTGAGACAGAGTCTCGCTTTGTTCCCCAGGCTAGAGTGAGTGCCGTGGCGTCAGCCTAGCTCACAGCAACCTCAAACTCCTGGGCTCAAGCGATCCTCCTGCCTCAGCCTCCCGAGTAGCTGGGACTACAGGCATGCGCCACCATGCCCGGCTAATTTTTTTTTTCCTATATATTTTTAGTTGGCCAATTAATTTCTTTCTATTTTTAGTAGAGACGGGGTCTCGCTCTTGCTCAGGCTGGTTTCGAACTCCTGACCTTGAGCGATCCTCCCGCCTCGGCCTCCCAGAGTGCTAAGATTACAGGCGCGAGCCACCTCGCCCGGCCTTGAGCCCCATTTTAGAAATGAGAAAAAGGGCCATGGAACTGAAAGGCCAGGCCCTTGAGTTAGTGGCAGATCCGAGGTGCACACCTGGGCCCCTTGGCGTGAGGGCACCCAGGGGTCACCCCAGAGAGACGCAGCTCCGTGGGGGTAGAGGGAAAAGGAGGAAGGAAGAGAGTTAGGCCAGCTGCTCTCTCTGCACCCACAGGCCACTCGAACGTCCCGCAAAGCCGTGGCCTTTGGCAAGCGCTCACACTCCATGAAGCGGAACCCCAACGCACCTGTCACCAAGGCTGGCTGGCTCTTCAAACAGGTGAGGCCGCCCTGCCGTTCTGCCCGCTGTAGCCACCACTTTCTCCTTGTGGCATCTTCATTCCTCTGTGCTTACGGCAGTCCGTATGTTTTCTGGTATGTCCTTCCGTTGTCTCTGAACGAGTCTCTTAATTTTATAAAGAGTCAGAGAAGTTGAGTATCTTCCCAGGGTCACACAGAAAAATGAGTGTCAACTTTGGGAATGCAGCCAAGTCTCCTGATGGGCAGGTGCAATGACTTTGAAATATGCTGGGTCACCAGCCCTGCCGGAGCAACCCACTGGCTCGTTGTGAGCAGGTCTCACTTGCTATGGGGAGGGTGGGGTGTCTCCTTCAAGTCTTGGGGCCCACCAGCTCTCCCCAGGTTGACCTCGCCACTCTCCCTGCCTGCCCTTCCGCTCACTCATTCTGGCTCATCTCTTGTCCCTTCACCTTCCCCACGGGTGGCACTGGGCTCCGGAATGACAGAACCGGGCGGTGCCCGGCAGTAATCTAACGTCAGGTCCCTGTATCCGAGGTCTCCGGGGTGTTGCTGCCATGCATTGGTGGCGGGGCTGCAGCTAGAGCAGGGTGTCCGTAGGATGGGTGTGGAGTTCCTTTCCCTGCCTCCCACCCCCTCCGCCAAGCCCGGCTGGCAGCCCCTCACGGCTGTCTCTCCTCGTGTCCTGCAGGCCAGCTCCGGGGTCAAGCAGTGGAACAAACGCTGGTTCGTCCTGCTGGATCGCTGCCTCTTCTACTATAAAGGTGAGCTCGCCCGGGCTGGCAGGGACGGCGGGCGGCCAGGGCCCCCCACTCTCTCATTCTGCCGCATCGCCAAGCTCTGCTGTGGGTGGGCGTCGGCAGGGCTGGTCTCCCCACTGCGGTCCTGGCACTGGTGGTGTGCGACAGCGGGTAGGGGCAGAGCTCAGTCCTTCACTCAAACGCCTGCTCGTTGCACTCGTATTGCACGGTCCCTGCCAGGATTCAGGCAGACTTCCAGGTCCTGGCCGGCGACACAGTGGCCGAACAAGGCAGTCATACGCACGGTGGAGTCAGGCAGGGGCGGGGCAGAGAGGAAACAGGTGGAGAGCAGAAGGTCACCGGCTACTGCTAGTAGGCCACCTGCTAATTGGAGTTGTGTGCCGATCTCTCTCCCGTCTGGCTGGAATGTACGGTCCCACCCACGAAGGCAGGAATTGTCGCCAGTTTTGGTCCCTTCTGTATCCACTGCACCTGAAACCGGGAGGTGGCACATAGTAGGTGCTCAACCCTAAGTAAATGAGTATGCTCCGGCTTCTACCCTCTCTGGCCACCCATCGCTCAGCCCTACTGTCTCTCTCTCTCACACACAAAAGGAGGACAAAGATCTTTGGTGCAGCCTCTGGGAAGCTATTTTTAAAATCTACACGGCAACATTGTGTCGAGGCAGGCTCAGAGGGCACCAGCGAGGCTTGGTGGCCCTAATGGTGCCAGAGCTTGGCTGACGCAGTGGGAGGAACAGGCACGAGGGGTGAGAAGAGACAGGGTAAAGTTATTTTCAGGCAGGAGAGGCTGTTTCCTCCACTTTCCTGCCCCAGAATGGCAGAGCCCTGATTTCCTCAGGCCACCTGGGAGCAATTCAGTGAATCATTAACTCTGGCAAACAAAAGGCCATTCCCAGTGACACCCGTCTCCCCACCCCCCCCCCAGCCCTGTTGTCCCTGGTGCCTGAGTTGCAGCCACCTGAACCCCAAGGAGAGAGAACAGGAAGGGCTGGGTATACCGGGTCCAGTTACAGAGGAAAGCCCAAGACTGGGGGGAGAAGAACCTGCCCAGGTCCGGACCCCAGTGCTGAGTCCCGGACCCAGGGCCACACTGGAGCCACAGTGGGAACAAAACTGGGAGCAAGGCCAGGTGCGGTGGCTCGTGCCTGTAATCCCAGCACTCTGGGAGGCCGAGGCGGGAGGATCGCTCAAGGTCAGGAGTTCAAAACCAGCCTGAGCAAGAGCGAGACCCCGTCTCTACTAAAAATAGAAAGAAATTAATTGGCCAACTAAAAATATATAGAAAAAATTAGCCAGGCATGGTTACTACATGCCTGTAGTCCCAGCTACTCGGGAGGCTGAGGCAGGAGGATTGCTTGAGCCCAGGAGTGTGAGGTTGATGTGAGGTAGGCTGATGCCACGCACTCTAGCCCGGGCAACACAATGAGACTCTGTCTCAAAAAACAAAAAACAAAAAACTGCGAGCAAACCCAAGGGCTCTGCAGAGGAGAGACTTTGGAACTGGCAGTAAGGATAGGACCTCCAAGAGCTGAGAACCCAAAAGGGCATGACATACCGAAATGGGGGTCACTGTCCACCAGAGAGGTGGTCTCAGGACAGTCCCTACACGCTGGGTGGACTCTGCCAGGCAGGGTCCGTCTCCTCTGGAGGGTGACAGCCTCAGCTTTCCTGAAGACAGCTGGGGGTCCAGCCCCAAGTCCCGTGTGCTCTTTCGGCCCATCCCTTCCTCTGGGCACCGCGCTGAGGTCCAGACGGAGAAGCTGAACGGGGCCACGTATCCCGAGGCCGTGATGAGGAGGGGAGAAGCGGGGCTCGAGGAGTTTGTGAGCCCTGCAGAGGTTTCTTCTGAACCCTCGCGGGAGGTTTTTCAGAGCCCTCCACCTGGGGAATAAGCAGCAGTCCCAGCAAAGTAGGGGGGTCTTGCCACGTCTCCAAGTTGCCCCCCACCGTCCCACAGAGCTGCCCCCTCTCACCTCACACTGGCAGCTGGGAGCCCCGAGCAGCCGATCCGATCTGTGGGGCTCCTTTGGGGACCCCGGGTGAGTTATGGGACAGCCAGGCTCCCGCCTGACCCCAGGGCCGGAGGGGCCAGGGGCTCCACGCAGTGCGATTCCCCGTGGAGACCCGGAAGGATCTCAACAGGACAGGGCAAAGTGGGCTGCCGGGTGCCTGGGAGCACTTTAGCCAGGGTTACCCAGAGGAGCCGGAGCGCGGGAGGTGGGATGGCCGATTCTGCCATGCCCTGTCCCGTCACCCCGTCACCCGTGTCCCTGCCGGGGTGGTCTCGTTTAGTGAGGCAAGACAGGACAGTGGTCACGGATGCTGTCTTCGGAGTAGACTCTTGGGTTGAGAGACCAGTTTCACCAGTTACCGCTTAAGTAACCTTGGACAAATCGCTTAACCTCTCCGTGCCTCAACTTCCTTACCTGTAAAATGGGCAGAACAACAGTGCCTCTTCGTGGGCTTGTTGGGAGGGTGAAGTCCGGTCAGGCATTTCTCTTGGGACGGCGCCTGGCTGCGCGAACACTCCCAGGACGGCGGCTGCTGCTCCCTTGTCTGTCGGTGTGCTGGAATGCTCGCGCCAGTGGGGTGGGCGCTCCTCCCTCTCGTCCACGTCCTCGGTCCCAGCGTCAGGGACGGCACGTGCGGGGCCACCGCGCTCCCCAGCTCCGGCAGTGCGTCTCTCGGAGTGTGCCTGGTGGCCCCGAGTGCCTGACGCGCAGCAGGTGAGCAGCGGACACTTAGCGGTGTCTGTCGTGCCAGGGCAGCACACTCCTCACGCCCCCCACCGTGCACACGCGTGCACACCCCGTGTGCTCTCTCCCTGCAGATGAGAAGGAGGAGAGCGTCCTGGGCAGCATCCCGCTGCTGAGCTTCCGCGTGGCAGCCGTGCAGCCCTCGGACAACATCAGCCGCAAGCACACGTTTAAGGTCAGTTGGCCCCGCTCTCCCCAGGTCACGGGGGGTCACGTGGGGTCACGTGGGGTGGGGGGCAGGCCTGCCCTTCTGGAGCGTGTGGGATGGAGAAGGATCAAGACCCAGCTCCCCGGGGAACCCCAAGTGGTGGAGCAGTGGTGGTGGTGGCAGTGATGGTCGTGATGGTGGTGGTGGCATAGGAGGAGGAGGAAGGAGGAGGCAGTGGCCCCCAATTCTTAGGAGAGTCTGTCTTAAGGCTGAGATGAGGCTTGCCAGAACCCCCTCCTCTTCTCTTGGGGGTCAGGCCCCCCAGAGTGGGCCAGTGGAGGCGTGCTTCAGTGGGACCACGGGTTTTCCTGGGGAGGAAATAGTTACGCTCTGAGCCCCTGGACCACGTGCCAGCAGCCTGCCCCGGGAAGTCCGTCTTGGCAGAGGCAGGGGCGCGGCTGGTGGGCTCTGAGATCTTTTCCGAACAGGCTTTCTCCCTCCCCACCTGCTCCCAGGGAGTCGGACCCCTCCCTCTGAGTCAAACTCCTCAAATTCCAGTCTTCAGAGAAAATTAGGAGTTGAGTGTCATTGCAGTCGAGAGCTGCAAAGCCCCATGTAGACAGCCCTTGGAGAGAACAAGTGGGCAGGAAAATGGGACTCCCCTGCCTGCTCGCTGTCACTCCCTCTGATCCCCCCCAGGGATCACCCGGCACAGACGCGCCCGCAGCTGGCTCATCTCGGGCCGGTGTTTTTCCACATTTAAAAATTCATGACCCATTAAAAACCATAAACATCCCACATCCTTTTTGTATTTTAAAATGCAGACATCATAGGTTCCTTTTCATTTTCCAATGAAAATGTAAAATGTAAAATGATGGTAGCAACCACGCATTGTCTTAGTACAAAGCCCTCTCCCCCTCAGCCGAGAGTCGCTGCCCAAGACCCTTCAGACCCAGAGCCGTGATCATGGCGTGCGAGGACAGGACTTGCCGGTCACCCCAGGCCAGTCTCTGAGCATCTAGGGCCTCAGGGACTCTGACCCCTTCTGTCCTTCTGACGCCAGTCACCTGGCCCCAGAAAAGACGGGGAGGCAGCATGCACAGGTCCCGCTGCGGGGAACAAGCAGGGACTTATTTGGCACATAATTAGTTTCTGGCCTCCCAGGGTCTTGTATGCCAGAGGTGTGAACAGGATGAACAGTTAATAGAACTCTGCCTCCGTGCAGCCGGTTGTAGCTGGGGAAATAGGAACAGGCTGTTGAACCAACAACAAGCGGTCCTGCCGTACACAGACGGGCACGCACACACCCCCACACGTAATCAAACAGCCGGTCTCGCCCTCCCCGCCAGGCCTGTGCAGAGACACACACGCACTCGGGCTTGGAGCCCTGCCAGCGGCAGGCGTGAGATAAACATCCCCGAGTGACTGGCGCAGCCCCCTGCCGCCAGCCCCCACGCCCTACCCCTGGAAGCGCTCGGCCTCTTTAAAACCGGCCCCAGGGCTGGGCTGCTCCGCGGCCCACAAAGGGTTCTGACTGTGGCTATTCAGTGGCCTTCCCCAGGGAAGGGAGGGGAGCCGAGACAGACGGGAGGCTTGTCCCGCTGCGGCCACCAAGCGGAACGCTTGCACGGCTAATGCCTTAACCTCTTCCCGACCCGCCGCCGCACACAGGCTCGGTGGGCTTCGCCCCACAGGGACAGCCCCTGCCTCCCCTGGCCCCTGTCATCGTTCCAGGCCGCTGCCCCTCCCGGCTCCCGTCAATAGCCCTGTCTTTTCCCAGGCCCTCTGCCGTCCCCTGTCACAGCACTTGTTCCTTTGCCTTTGCTCTCTCCTTGTTTCCTTGGCATGTGCTGTCCCCCGGCGTGACCGTGAGCTCTTCAAGTGCAAGAGCGTGTCTTTTCCCTCCTTGGGACGGGTGCCCCCGCGGGCTCCGCACACAGGCCGCTCGCCGGGTGCTCGCTGAATGGATGAATTCATCCGCTGCCCTCTCCCGCCCGTCCCGGGACACACCCCCCGGCCCTGCCTGTGTCCCTCTTCCCTACAATGGCCGTGTGTTCTCCACCCAGAGGACGTGCTCAGATCCCTGGTCCCCCTGCCCCCGTGCGGTTTCACGTCCCGGCTGCCTCCCGGCGGCTCCAGGGGCTGTCGGCATGTCCCCGGCATCTACCGCACCTGTCCTGAGCCGGCCCATGCGCTGGGGCTCTGCAGGAGGGTGAAGCCGGCAAGGAGGCCCACCCCGTCTCTTCCCGGGTGAGGGCTCCTGTCAGGAAGAAATTGAGGGCCGGGGGCAAGTAGAGGTGAGGTGGGATTGGCTGCAGTCGGGGGCGGGGGGCTTCACGAGGGCCAGCCAGGAAAGCACACGGAGGGTGTGGGTTTGACACTGTGTAGGAGAGCCCTGAGCTCGGACAGAGATGCCCTCTCCTCTCCCAACCCCCAGAGACCCAGGATTGAGCACCTAAGGGGTCAGAGGCTGGAGTGAGGCTCACATCTGAGACCCTCGGTCACTGCTAGATTCCCCCTTTGACAGAGATAAACTAGGCTACCTGATTTTCATTGGAGATTAAGGGTCTCACCTGGGAGTATGCCGAGGTCCCCGAAAGAATCTAGTCCTGCAGCCTCTTTTCCTCGAGTTTCACCAGGCAGACCCTCCCCATTACACAGATGCATCAATTAAGGCCAGAGCAGAAAAGCAACCAACCTGTCTGCAGTCGCAGAGCTGGTCGGGAGCAGAGCCTGGGTTAGCACTGGGGTTCCCTGACTCACCCTCTACCACCAGCCCAGATTTCCACGGTGCAAGCTCTCCACTCTCCGCCCCGTGGTAGGCTGAACTGGGCATTGCTGGGTGCCATCATTCCAAGGGTGACACTGAGTAGAAGGGGACAGTCAGAATTTTCCCCCTTCCCTGTGCTCCTCAATGTTTCCTGCCATGTGGTCTTCTGTCTCTCCCTCTGGTGTTGGTTGACCTGTTTTCTGCTTCTCCTCCTTCTGACCACGTGAGGACCCTTCCTCTGGACAGGAGCTCTCTTCTGGGTTCCCGCCCGCTGTGCCTGCTCGCAGCCGCCAACTAGGTAGTGTGCTCTGTCTGTGTGCAGTGCATGCCCTTGCATGCCCGTGTCCCTCCACGGGGAGGAGACAGTGCCAGCTTCTCAGTGGTGAAGCTGGGGCTGAGATTGGCATGTGCTCGGGGGGTCATCTCCCCCAGACATCGGGTAATTGCCTTTCAAATGAAACATGGGATTTGATGGGAGAGTGGGTGAGATAATTGTCCCTCCTGCTTATAATCGTCTCAGGTGGGGCAGGTGGACTTACCTGGCTATATTGGGTGGCCTAATGGCATCCAGAGGGCCAGCCAAGGCAGGTATCTGGATACCAGCTGGAGCGCGTGGGACAGCCGTGGGCTACCCGTCTCCTTGCTCCTGAGCTCCTGTGGGGGAAAGAGCCGTGGGTGCAGGGAACGGCCTGACTGACCGCCCACTCTGTGGGTGCTGGTGTCCTCTCCCAACAGGTGACTGTGTGCTGGGTGGACGAGGCCGGGGCCAGTTCCACGCACTGCCTCTCCCCACAGGCGGAGCATGCCGGCGTCCGCACCTACTTCTTCAGTGCCGAGAGCCCGGAGGAGCAGGAGGCCTGGATCCAGGCCATGGGGGAGGCTGCCCGAGTCCAGATCCCCCCAGCCCAGAAGTCGGTGCCCCAAGCCGTGCATCACGGGTGAGCGCCGGGGTCCTGGGCGTGGTGGGGGCGCAGAGAGGAGAAAGAGGAGGATTGAGGAAGTGCCCGGCGCCGCACTATTGCTGGGCCCAGCGTGCCGGCTCGAACCCCTGCATAGCGTGTGAACTGTCTCCTGGTATCCGAGCATCTGAGCAGGAGCCTAAGTGATGGCAGAGCCTGAGGTCTCCCTTCCCCCGACCAGCCCCTCCTCTTCTATCTGAGCTGGGGGAGGCCAGGAGAGAAGGCGCGTTCCATCGGAGGTCCAAGGTGTCAGGGTCATTTGCTCGTTTTTCTCGGCTGTGTGTGCCAAGCACACAACCTCTGGGAAAAAGTGGACTCAGGTTTGCAGCACAGCTTGGCCCCTTGGTCACAGCGTGAGCTCCGTGTAAGGGACCTAGCCTCTCCGAACCCGAGTTTCCTCTGCTCCAAACCAGCGACCACAGTCCTCCCCCCTAGAGTTGTCTCGAGGACTGCGCGTAGCGTGTGCGAAACGCTTGCCGTGTAGTCACCGCTCGACACATGGCCGCCTCATCACCCGTCGTCACCCACGGGCCCAGCGTCTGTCCCTCCTGTGGCTGGGCGTGGAGCCGGGAGCGAGGCGTAACCGGGGATCCAGAGCAGGGGGTTTCACAGCGTAGACTCCAAGTCCATTCGCATGTCTCAGAAATGTTTATCAAGCAATGTTTCGGCAGGGATGCTCGACTATGTCGAATCTGGGAAGCTGTAGGGAGAAAATTGTCACGCGTTTCGCTTCAACCGAGGGGCGTGCTTCCAGAAGTTCATTCCTGCATTGCGTAGATGCTCACTGTAAATGTAAATGTGCGAGGCAGTGCAGCAGGCGCTAGGAACACAAGAGGGGAGAGCCTGCCACGTCCCTTCCCTGGTGGAGCCTGTGTTCTGGCGGAAAGGCAGTGCTGGAAGAAACACGTTTTGGAGAAGGGAGCTAGTGTGTTCATAGGCCTGTGAATTTGGAGGCAGCAGTTTCTGCCCTGGTCCCTGCTGTGTTTTATGTCACAGCAGTCCTAGGAGGGGAGGTGATATCGTCATACCCATTCTGCCAATGAGCAGCTAAAGATGCATGGCAGTTAAGTAACTTTCTGCAGGAGACAGAGCTGGGCTATGACAAGCCTTTGTCGCTGGGGCGTCGAGGATGGTTACTGCTTTGAATCCTCAGGAGAGAGCAAACAAACCTCGGGCTGGCTCAGGGACAGACGAGGGAGAAAAGCAAGACCAGCTGAGTTAGTCTCGGCTGTAGCTTGAAGGTGGGGCTCAGGGCTCAGAGCGGGCTGGCGGAGGGAGTGGAGAGTGACCTGCAGAGAGGCCCTGAGGGCAGAGGGCCTGGCAGGAGCAGGCCAGGGGTAGGTTCTGGCGTATAATCGCTCAGGCGGGAGTGAGAAGACACAGCGGTGGGACTTGCAAGGCAGAACTGGAACCCACCGAATCCTGGTTCTGTCACCTCCGTCCTGCCCGTCCTTCCCACCCACCCCCCCACCCCGCCCACCTCCACGCTGGGCTGGGGTGACTGACAGCGTCTCCCTTGGCATCCTGCAGCCACGAGAAGCCAGACTCGGAGAACATCCCCCCCAGCAAGCACCACCACCAGGCGCCCCACGGCAGCCTCCCCAAGCCGGAGCTGGAGGCCAAGACCCGAGGGGAGGGAGACGGCCGGGGCTGCGAGAAGGCAGAGAGGAGGCCCGAGAGGCCGGAAGTCAAGAAGGAGCCTCTGGTGAAGGCCAACGGCGTCCTAGCTGGGCCGGAACCAGCCTCAGAGCCGGGCAGCCCGTACCCCGAGGGCCCGAGGGTGCCAGGTGGTGGGGAGCAGCCCGCGCAGCCCAACGGCTGGCAGTACAGCTCCCCGAGCCGGCCGGGGAGCACAGCCTTCCCGCCTCAGGACGGAGACAGCGCAGGCCACCGCCGGAGCTTCCCGCCACGCACCAACCCGGACAAAATCGCCCAGCGCAAGAGCTCCATGAACCAGCTGCAGCAGTGGGTGAACCTGCGCCGGGGGGTGCCCCCACCCGAAGACCTCCGGAGGTGAGGCCTGGCGGGGGTGCAGTCACAGCCGGGGCGGGGGAAGGGGGTGGTACCCCGAGAGGCATCCCCGACTGGAATTCTTCTGGAAGCCAGGCTGAGTTGGGAAACCAAGGAAATCCCATGACTCCCAGCTTGCCCAAAGCCTGCCCTGCCCCGTGACTCCATCCATATTCAGGGTTTGGCCACAGCCCCATTCTTGCTTTCCCGGTCCACTTCCTGCAGGAGAAGGGACAGCCTGCCCCAGGGCTCTCCCCGGGGTCCTGCGCAGCCCAGGAAACAGCAGCCCGAGGTGGGGGGCTCGAAGTTGTCCTAGTCAGACATCCGCCTATGCCGTGGGACAGACCCCCCACGACCTCCTCTACCAACACGGGACTCAGTCGCCCCCAGACCAACTCACTCCACTTTTGAGCAGCTCTAATCGTTTGAAAGCCATTATTTACATGCAGTTAAAGAAACAAAACATACAAAGCAGCTCATTGGTCCTCCCTTTGGCCAGTTTACTCCTCTCTCCCATGACTGGCTTTCAAATCATATCCGTGGAGATGTGTGTTGGGCCCATGGTGTGCACCAGGGCCGGTGGGCCAGCAGCTCCGTCCCGGCATGGGCAGCTCCAGGGACCTCTGGGCCTGGGAGGAACCTGCCCCCTGGTGGCTGGGCCCTGCTCACCAGCTCACTGCTGGGGGCCTGGCTGGGTGGGGGGATCTGGCCTGCCCTGGGGAGAGGGCCTCACCTGGGATCAGTCCCAGGAACCTTCTGGTTCGGTCCTCCATGAGCTCATACTATCGGGAAGCTGCGCTGCCTGGTAGACCCTCCTCTATCTGCCTCTCCCGGGAAGCATCCGATAGATGGTCCCACACTGGGTCGGAGATGGCTAGCAAGGCTTCAGGTTTCTTCCTAGGCCTGTTTCATTTTTAGAAGACAAAGATCAAAGCTTTGAATGGTGCAATTTCTCGCCTCGGGGAGCTGGCGGAGTAAGGGGGCTTTGAGCGCGGGTCTCCCGCTCACCTCTGCCCCGAGCCTCCCCCGGAGCACCCTGCGCTAGGCTGGAGGACCTGGGGCGCAGGCAGGTGGGTGGAGGGGTGCCGGTTTTGCCTGCCTTCCTTGCAGTGTCCTCTCTCTCTCTCAGTCCCTCTAGGTTCCAGCCCGTGTCCCGCAGGGTCCCCGAGTATTACAGCCCTTACTCCTCGCAATACCCGGACGATTACCAGTACTACCCGCCAGGGGTGCGGCCGGACAGCATCTGCTCCATGCCGGCCTACGATCGCGTCAGCCCGCCCTGGGCCCTGGAGGACAAGCGCCATGCTTTCCGCAACGGTGGCGGCCCCGCCTACCAGCTGCGGGAGTGGAAGGAGCCCACCACCGGCTATGGGCGGCAGGACGGCACCGTCTGGGTCCCCAGCCCCTCCCGGCAGCCGCCCGTCTACTACGACGAGCTGGACGCGGCCTCCAGCTCCCTGCGCCGCCTGTCCCTGCAGCCCCGGTCTCACTCCGTGCCCCGCTCGCCCAGCCAGGGCTCCTACAGCCGCGCCCGCGTCTACTCCCCCGTCCGCTCGCCCAGCGCCCGTTTCGAGCGGCTGCCGCCACGCAGCGAGGACATCTACGCCGACCCCGCCGCCTACGTGATGCGGAGGTCCATCAGCTCCCCCAAGGTGAGCCCCCAGCCTGCCCCTCCCCCCTCGCCCTCGCCCCCCCAGACCCCCGGAGGCCCAAGGCCATCTGCTGAGAAGAGGCGGAGATGTGGGGGCACCTGACTCTGAGCTTTTGATCCAGTTTAGATCCAGTTTGGTCCAGTCCAGAATGTGACTCTGAGCTTCTGATCCAGTTTACAGCTGAGAGTAGTATGTGACAAAGCTGGCCGGGCACGGTGGCTCACACCTATAATCCTAGCATCCTGGGAGGCCGAGGCCAGAGCATCCCTTGAGGTCAGGAGTTTGAGACCGGCCTGAGCAAGAGCGATAGGAAAAATTAGCCGGGCATGGTAGTGCACACCTGTAGTCCCAGCTACTCGGGACCTGTGGCAGTGGCCCGGGCAGCCACTGGCCTGCGGCTCTGTCCCTGGCAGTATTGCTTTGCCCCCCGAGTGGGGGAGACCTTGCCCTCTGTGCCCGTGCCCAGCTCGTGCCAGGAACCATGCTGATTTAAGAGGGCAGAGAGGGTTCTGCCTTTTCGAGTCTTGAGGACCCGGCTGGATCACTGTGAGCGGGGGGCTGCTATCCATTTGGTTTGGCATCTGCTCTGGGAGCGAATACAGACACCCCTAGCCTCGAGCTCCCACTGTGGGGGGAGTCTGTGTCCCAGCCGGACCCCTCACCTCTGCGATCCGTTTCTCTTCCAGTATGATTACCTGGGAGACAGGCGGCCAGTCCCTGCAGCACTGTTCCCCTACAACTACCCACCATCCCCCACGGTCCACGATAAGATGGTACGTCCTCTCCTGCCCTCCACCCCACCGTAGGGCCTCCCCTGTCTGCCTCCGCCAGAGCGGAGCTGAACGGGGGCGGACGCCAGGGATGCTCTGTGCCCAGCGCCCGGCCCCTCTGGTTCTGAGCAGCCTCTGGATGCCTCCTCCCTCCTGGCCAGGACTCTAGCTCCAATGCCAAGTGTGGCGCCAGGTGCCCCCTCTCCCCTGGGACACAGGGCAGAGGAGCGTGGATGAGATCCAGGTGCCTGTGATGCCCTGATCCTCCCAGCCTCGGCACGACTCTGCTCTCCAGCATGCGGGAGAAGGGGCCTGGCCGGGGCTTAGGTTATGCACTGGGGTGCGCCCAACCACAGGCAAGACCTTCTCCACTCTTCTCCCTAAAGTGTATTTGTTTCAAGTTTGTCCTTTGCCTGGAATGCCACCTTTGGGGAAAGAGACAAGCAGTGCGATTGAGGAAGAGAAGATTGTCCATGTGGCATCTCCTCTTTTTCTCCCTGCTTTTGACTCAGTGTCTCTCCCTGGAATTTGTTCTCCTGAGAATTTTTGCCACCACTTACAGTACCAGGCGCAGACGCCCCACGCACTTAGGTGGGTGGGGGAGAACCGCTGAGACCGACAGGCGGAATCCTTGTCCCCATGATATAGCACCAGGAGGCCAGGAGGCTGCTGCTCCCTTGTCTGACCCTCACTCTGCCAGTGTGCGGACTCCATAGCCTTGACCCTTGGCAAACACAGCTATCCGAGACCACCCATTTTCCCAGAACACCCAGAAAGGGCTGCTAGGAAGTGCCGCCTACCTCCATTGCTCCGGGGGTGCTCGACTCTCCCAGGGAGGGCAAGCAGGCAGGCCTGGGAGACACGGAGTTGGGGCCTGGAGTCCGTCCGTCCCTCCTCTCCCTGGGAGTGTCACCTGCCAGCATCCCGTCCCCAGACCTCCTCAAGGGCAGGGAGAGAGGCCTATCCTTGTCCAGCTATAACTCTTAACCGCTTTGCTTCTTTTTCATTGTTTTCTTTTGTGTGTCCCTGTTTGTTTGTGTCGCTGTGTGGCCTCTGGGCCTCGGGCTCCGGGTAGGATGAACTTTTAGATCTTCAGTTGCAAAGAAACCTAGAGTATTTGGATCAGCAGGTAGGCAGAGCTGGTGCGCCCCCATCCCACTGCCCTCTGTCGCGTCCCTGTCCTCCCCACCTCCTCATCTCCCAGCCTTCCGACAGCCTTTGTTGGTGTGACCCACCGGCACACAACAAAGTGGCTTATGTTTTGGTTTGCTCCTTCTCGCCCCTTCTCTTCAAAGCCCTTTAGGACAGCTGGGGGTTTCCTGGGGGAGAGAAGCATAATAAGCGAGAACATGAATAATTAATGCTACCTCTTATTCCGCCAGCGTTCAGCACTGATGGAACTGCCCCCAGGGGGCAGGTAGGGAGTTTGCATTTTTGCCTGCAAGAGGCCAGGTGGGAGTAGCAGAGAGGAGGGAGCTCCTGGCTTGGCCCTGAGATGCTAGAGATTGAGTTCAGCCTGAGTCTGGGAGGCTAGCATATGCCATAATTTGTAAACGGACCCCTAGTGCCCCTCCCTAGGATGATTTAAAAAATAATATTAATTCGGTATAGTTGTTCCTCCACGAAGCCCTTTTGCACACACAGCTCATGCTTTCCTAAGCATTCAGTGGACAGAGGAAGTAGTATCCAGCCCGTTTTGCAGGGGAGCAAGCTGAAGAGGCAGTGAGTGTTCCCACGAGGTGCAAACAGTCGGCTGCCTGGGCCCCAGGGCTCTGACGCTTGGCTGCCTTGCCCCCTAGGCTGAGGGAGCTGAGCTTCTCACTGGGGTCAGTCTGCTGGGCAGACGCTCAGCACATGTACGCGAGCACACGCTCTTATGTTCAGATCTGTGCTGCAAACCACGGGGACTTGGAAGCACGCAGCACTGTCCTGTGGAGGCTGCCCAGGATGGTGGAAATGACAGTGACAATAATTATAACAATAATAAAATGGCAGCAGCTCCCGGAATAGGGTGCTTCCTCTATGCCTCCATTCTAAGCACTTTACACATCCCTGAGTCCTTTCATCTTTGTAGCAACCCTAAAGATGGGGACTGTTATTATCCTCATTTTACAGCTGAGGGAAAGAAAAAGCACAGAGAGGTTAAATAACATGCCAAAGACACACAGCCAGTGAGCAGCACAGCTTAGAATGTGACTCTAAGCTTTTGATCCGGTTTACAGCTGAGGGTAATATGTGACAAAGCTGGCCGGGCACGGTGGCTCACACCTGTAATCCTAGCACCCTGGGAGGCCGAGGCCAGAGCATCACTTGAGGTCAGGAGTTTGAGACCGGCCTGAGCAAGAGTGATAGAAAAAATTAGCTGGGCGTAGTGGCGCGCACCTGTAGTCCCAGCTACTTGGGAGGCTGAGGCAGGAGAATCATTTGAGTCTAGGAGTTTGAGGTTCCTGTGAGCTAGGCTGACGCCACGGCAACTCCAGCCCGGGCAACAGAGTGAGACTCTGTTTCAAAAAAAAAAAAATGTGACAAAGCTATGGTCAGACCTTATCAGGATGATTTCACATTCTTAAAGTTGCAGAAAAAAAGCCATAAACTTGAAATCAGAGGATATAGCTGCAACCCTTGATGCTCCTAGTCATAAGCCACGTGACCCATCTCACTGGGCCTCAATGTCGCAGAGAGATCACCATCCTAGAAGCACCGATAGCCACAGTTTAGTCAGCAGGACGGGGCCCAGCCCTCGAGGGCCTTGCATGCCAATCCCAAAGGCAGCACCCTGCGTCCACGCCACGAGTGTTCTGGTCCCTGTGGGAACAAGTCCCAGGGTGCCGACTCAGAGCAGGGCCGGGAAGCACAGGATCCTCCCAGTGGGAAACAGTTCTGCTAAGGAGCAGGGCCCGGTGTCCTCCTGCCTCCGGGGTCCCAGGCAGGCTCCCCACCCCCCACATGATCTGCTCTCCGCTCCATCCATGATACCTGGCTGGCTGAGCGCTGGTGCAGACAGCTGGGCCTCTTCCTGGGGGCTTCTGCCCTAGAAGAGGGGCCGGCATGTTAGGCTGGGGGCTTCAGAAATAAACTTCCGGAGGACCCTCTCCTGTAGAAAGGGTAATATTCTTAAAAGGCAGTCTTGCATGATAAGAAGAGTCTAGAACATAGACGCTGCCACTCTAGTTCCACCTCTGCCATTTACAGGGTGTTTTTTTTAGCTCCTAGAAATGTCACTTGGTCTCTCTGGGTCTTTGTTTTCTCAATCATAAAGCGGACCTTATAGAGCCTGCCCTTTCTACACCACAGGTTTATTGGGAGAATCAAGTGGGAATGTACACGAGAGCTCTGTGTCGGGCATTGGCAAGGAGTGGTGATCGCTGCTACTGCCATTCTGTTGTTTTTGTAAAACTCAAAAATATCAAGGCTGGGTGCGGTGCCTCACGCCTGTAATCCTAGCACTCTGGGAGTCCAAGGAGGGAGGATCGCTCAAGGTCAGGAGTTCGAAACCAGCCTGAGCAAGAGCAAGACCCCGGTTATACTAAAAAAATATATATATATGTATTTCTCCTTTTTATTTGGCAATTAGTCTTTCCCCCTCCACATCCCCAAATTAATTGGCCAACTAAAAATATGTAGAAAAAATTAGCCGGGCATGGTGGCACATGTCTGTAGTCCCAGCTACTCGGGAGGCTGAGACAGGAGGATTGCCTGAACCCAGGAGTTTGAGGTTGCTGTGAACTAGGCTGACACCACGGCACTGTAGCCCAGGCAACAGAGTGAGACTGTCTCAAATATATGTGTATGTGTGTATATATATGTGTGTGTGTGTGTATATACACACACACACACACATATATATATGAATCGAGCACCACTTACTGGATTAGGTGCTTTCTCACAAAGTATCTCTAACATTTTAGAGAGACAGAAGGTAGCACAAGGGAATCCTCCCAGGGTTAGGCCACGTGGGCTGAAAGATCCCCAAAGCCACAGCACAGGTGGGAGGTGGCCAGGATGAGAACATTCCTCTCCCTTCATTTGTTGCTTTAGATCTACACGTTGGGAAAGGAACGAGATTGGTGAGTGCCCAGGGAGAGCCTGGGCCTCCCGTGCCCTCTCGAAGCCTGATGTGCTGGTAGATCTGCCTTGTCCCGTGTGTGCTCACCTGCACACACAATCCACACACAACACCACACATACCCACACCATACATGCACACCCCATTCAAATTCAACATACTCCCCTACACACACAAACACACACGCACACTCCGTGAAGATGGGGATAGCCCTGAGTTGGGATCCTTGGCCGGGCGCGGTGGCTCACGCCTGTAATCCTAGCACTCTGGGAGGCCGAGGCGGGAGGATCGCTTGAGGTCAGGATTCTAGACCAGCCTAAGCAAGAGCGAGACCCCGTCTCTACTAAAAATAAGAAAAATTAGCCAGGTGTGGTAGTGTGCACCTGTAGTCCCAGCTGCTCAGAAGGCTGAGGCAGGAGGATCACCTGAGCCCAGGAGTGTGAGGTTGCTGTGAGCTAGGCTGACACCACGGCACTCTAGCCTAGGTGACAAAGTGAGACTCTGTCTCAAAAAAAAAAAAAAAATGTGGTCGATGTCCTGTCGACCTTTAACTCTTACAGAGACTCAACTTCACGTGACAAGTGCTCTTTTGAAAGCCTTTTAAGTCACACTTTATACAACAGAAAAAAATTTTAGCTGTGACATGGAACAGTCGGACCCTAGCAAAGCCTGTCAGGGTGCCACAGACCCCGCAAGGACGGTGGTGGGTCCCTGGCCCTGTGGACAGCATGTGGCAGCGAGGCTGCGTGTGGGCCGTTGCCTAAGAGGAGGAAGAGACAGCGTGGGTCCCACTGAGGCCAGGAGGCGATGGAGAAAACAGGCAGCTCCCCGAAGTGCGACCCCCAGACATCCCCCCCCCCATGTGGCTCGAATGTGTCCTCCCTCCCCTCATTCACTTTCCCTCCCCCAAAGCTTTTCCTGCACGATTCCCCTCGTCTTCTGCCCTCCCCTGTAGAACAATGGAGTTAAAGGGACACAGCCAGGGACACTCCTGGACACTGGTGGCGCCACTCTCTGACCCTCTCACACTGCAGCCAGGGAAGTGATGGCGTTTCTGTTAATGGTGGCCTTCTCTCTCTCCTAAACCCTTCCTTTCTCTTTTTCCTCCTCCATCCCCTCTTCCTCCTCCTCCCCTTCTCCTCTCCCTCCCTCCTCCTCCCCTCCCTCTATTTCTCTCCTTTTGGCAATTAGTCTTTCCCTGCACGTCCCCAGTGATCCGTGAAACAGAAAGATAACGTGCGGAAGAACAGCAGTCTTCCAACACCTGGTGTCCCTTTAACACGCCCGCTTGTTTCCACCTCCTTGTTTGCTCCCTAGTGTCATCCGCGGTCACCACGGATGCCGCCAGCCCAGCTCTGGAGACGGTGCTAGCAGTCCTCCCACAGTAGAGCCGGGTGGGCAGGCCCCAGGGAGAGCGGCTGTGCCTGGTCACGAGTGCAGGGCCCTCCCCGGAGAGCAGGTCCCAGATGGTCCTTCTTCGGCTATTTAGCTCGAATGCTGACAGATCAGCCTTTCCACCTGCCTGTGTGGGGTTTTTGTCCAAAGCAGCATAAGAAAGGAGACGAGGGCAAGGAGGCGGCACCTGTGGCCAGTGTGCACGGGGCCCGCAGCGGGCAGGCGTGCCCTGGGCCAGAGCCACGGGGCTGGGGCTCTGCAGTGCCTCGAGCCAGGGCCCGGGGGCCTCCCCGCTCCCCTGGGCGGCTTTTCTGCAAGGACAGCTCCAGTGCTGACCCTGAGACAGAGGTCACCAGGGGCGAGGGACGGGCGCGGGCAGGCGCAGGGTGCCGAGGCCCCAGAGGAGCTGCCCTGCCCTGTTTCCTGGCAGAGGAGCGCAGGTGGGTGTGGGGGGCCCGGCCGCGTGCGTCTGAGTGTGCATCGTCCGTTCCTTCCTCCGCTGCAGATGAGTGAGAGCGAGACTCTCATCAGTATGGTGAACCGCATGGTGGAGAGCTCCTCCCCCAGGGCCCAGCTCTTCATGCAAGTAAGACCTCTGCCTGGCAGCATGGTCCCCACCAGCGCCATTTCAGCTGCTTGTGCATGGTCCGGTCGCCCCGAGGCTCACTCCGCTCATCCGCCGGTTCTCATCTCCCCCGGAGACCGGCGCCGCTTGGTCTCCTCCCTTAATTCCTCCGTGTCCCCTCCATGCTTCACTTTCATGGGTTACGCCCGAGGCCCATCTTCCAAGCCATCGAGGTGGCCAGCACCGACATCTCATGCCGCGCCGGGGATCGCGGGTCTGCTTTGGCACGGGCAGGACGTCTGCTCCGCGTCTGCTGCCCTCTCGGCACGCGCCGTGGGGGTGAAGGGCGTGGGGGGTGTAACGTGGAATCGTCCGAGGCCAGGGGTGTGCCAGACGGCTCACCACGGCCAGGCAGCACTTGCTGGGCCCAGAAGCGTCTCTGAATTCTTGCCGATCCTGGTTTACTGTGACTGCGCCCGGTCTATGGGGGCGATAGCTCTCAGATGTTCCCATGCTCGCTGCCTCCGTCCTCCCACGGCCTGTCCCCATGGACGGCCGCAAGGTTCACCAATGTCACGGTGGTTACCAGTAAGCCACCAGGAGCTACACGCCCCATAGTTGCTCTCAGCAGCAGGTCCCAGGGCTGACGGGGGAGGACACACAGAGCGTGGCCTGAGCGGGTCCCATCAGCCTGGGACAATTGGGGTGCGGTCTGTTTCGGGCCATCAGAGGCTTGCCAGCCGGGAGACAAAAAATTAGCTCGGGGCCCTGGCACGGAAGCCACCAGGGGCGATGGACCACGGCCTCTGGCAGCAGCAGAGCGGGGCCGTGACATCGGCTCCCCACCCCTGCACACCCCCGTCCTGCCCCTGCGGTGACCTGACCGGCCCTGTGTCCCTGCAGGTCCCTCCGTACCCTGAGGTGTTCCGGGACAGCCTGCACACCTACAAGCTGGACGAGCAGGACACGGACGTAAGAGCGGTGCTCCCCGCTCCCTCTGTCCCCCGGCCTCCCCTGCCACTGTCCTCACCCCTCCTTCCCCCCACCCCGCTCTCTCCCCGCTGGGGCTCTTCACGCATTGGAGTCACATCTTCTCTCGCCACAAAGGCAACTTCCGCCTGCCCCTCCGCCCGTCCCCCCTTCTTTTCTCCGTCTCACCACCCACTCACCCGTCCCTCCCACTCTGGCCCTGGGTGTTTTTCCACCGAGCTCACGGCCCTCTGGTCTAGGGCAGTGGGCTCTGCCCTGCCCTCGGGGAGCCCCCGGCCGTGGGGACGCAGGCAGCAGTGGGTGGTGCTCATACCCTGAAGGGGACCCGGCATAGGTTCTGCAGGGGTGCGGGGAAGTGAGGCGTGTGGGCAGGTGGGTCAGGGACAAACAGGTAGCCTGTGAGCTGGCCCTGAAGGGGAGAGGCCTGGAGGGCAAGCTGTGGCTCGGGAGAGGAGCAAGGCAGGTGTGTGAGGACAGGCTAAGATCAAGGTGTGGACAGGGATAGCCCAGGTCTTTCCCAAAGGCATCTGGCCTCACCTGCCTCTTCCCACTATTGCTGCCCGGCAGGCCTGGGGGAGGTCCCCCCATGACAGGACCAGACCTCAGAGGGACCCAGCCAGGGGCAGCCACCCTGAGAACTAGGAGGGGGGAGGGAAGACAGGGTCTAGGGGTGAGAGAGAGAGGAGGCTCCTGTGGGCCCGGCGTACACTGCTCGCTGCTTTCTCCAAGACTGCCCGGGCCAACACCCCGCCTGCCTCTCCCTCCAGCCCAGCCTCTCCCTAGCCTTTGTGACGTTCGCCCCTCAGGTGGATGGGGTACAGGAGCTAACACTCGCATCCTCAGACCCACCAACCCCGACCGCACTTCCCAGGAGTAAGCACGTCTCCCCTCCCAGGTGGAGACCCCTCCTGTTCCAGGAGCGGTCAAGGCCCAAGGTTGCTCAGCAGGGAAAGGAGGCAGTGGAGGCAGCCTGCACAACCCATTCCAGGCCCGTCAAAATAGTCCTTCATCCTCTTCTTTCTCCCCCCTCCTCCACCCTCGGCCCCAGAAGCTGCTGGCAAGCTGTGTGAGCAGAGCAAGGTGGTGCAGGAGCAGGACCGCTGTGCAGCAGCTCCGAGCGGAGAAAGGTGAGAACCCAGGGGGCTGCAGCTGGGTGTGCGGCGGCAGGGCGGGGCTGTTGGAGAAGGTCGTGGCTGCTGTCTCCATCCAGGCTGCAGGCTTTGCCTTCCTTAACTTCTGCCTCCACCCTTAAGCAGAACGCTGGCTGAAGGTCTCCGGGCCCTCAGCAGTGTGAGGACAGCCCCCAAGCTGCCTGCTCCGCTTCTAAGGCTCAGCCCCTGCTTAACAACCCCAGAAAGGAGCCACCAGGGCTGCTCACGGCCGCCCCTGCCTTCCTGCAGGAAGCCTGGAAAGTGCCTGATGGGGACGCACAGGAGCTGAGATGTTCGGCAGCCACCCGCCTACCCGAGAAGCTGCTGCACAAGAAGGATCGCTGCAGAAGCAGCTCATCAACATCCGCGTGGAGCTGTCTCAGCACCACGGTAACCGGCGCAGGGCCTGCGTGCCCGCCACCGCCCTCGGCCAGGGCGCCACCCGCCCGATCCAGTGCTCCTGGGAGGGCAAGAGCAGGCGCTCCTCCCTGGCAGGGGCTAAACAAAGACGTCGACACTGCCTGGCAAAACAGCGACCTTCACTGCCGGTGGCGTCTCCGACGAGGAAGCTCATTTCCCACCACGCTGTCCGGGACTCACCTTTGGATGGCGAAGTGACCTGACCGGCCCTGTGTCCCTGCAGGTCCCTCCGTACCCTGAGGTGTTCCGGGACAGCCTGCACACCTACAAGCTGGACGAGCAGGACACGGACGTAAGAGCGGCGCTCCCGGCTCCCTCTGTCCCCCGGCCTCCCCTGCCACTGTCCTCACCCCTCCTTCCCCCCACCCCGCTCTCTCCCCACTGGGGCTCTTCACTCATTGGAGTCACATCTTCTCTCGCCACAAAGGCAACTTCCGCCTGCCCCTCCGCCCGTCCCCCCTTCTTTTCTCTGTCTTACCACCCACTCACCCGTCCCTCCCACTCTGGCTCTGGGTGCTTTTCCACCGAGCTCACAGCCCTCTGGTCTAGGGCAGTGGGCTCTGCCCTGCCCTCGGGGAGCCCCCGGCCGTGGGGACGCAGGCAGCAGTGGGTGGTGCTCATACCCTGAAGGGGACCCGGCATAGGTTCTGCAGGGGTGCGGGGAAGTGAGGTGTGTGGGCAGGTGGGTCAGGGACAAACAGGTAGCCTGTGAGCTGTCCCTGAAGGGGAGAGGCCTGGAGGGCAAGCTGTGGCTCAGGGGAGAGGAGCAAGGCAGGTGTGTGAGGACAGGCTAAGATCAAGGTGTGGACAGGGATAGCCCAGGTCTTTCCCAAAGGCGTCTGGCCTCACCTGCCTCTTCCCACCACCACTGCCCGGCAGGCCTGGGGGAGGTCCCCCTATGACAGGACCAGACCTCAGAGGGACCCAGCCAGGGGCAGCCACCCTGAGACCTAGGAGGGGGGAGGGAAGACAGGGTCTAGGGGTGAGAGAGAGAGGAGGCTCCTGTGGGCCCAGCCTACACTGCTCGCTGCTTTCTCCAAGACTGCCCGGGCCAACACCCCGCCTGCCTCTCCCTCCAGCCCAGCCTCTCCCTAGCCTTTGTGACGTTCGCCCCTCAGGTGGATGGGGTACAGGAGCTTCACACTCGGCTCTCAGACCCACCAACCCGACCCACTTCCCCAGGGAGTAAGCACGTCTCCCCTCCCAGGGTGGAGACCCCCTCCTGTTCCCAGGAGCGGTCAAGGCCCAAGGTTGCTCAGCAGGGAAAGGAGGCAGTGGAGGCCAGGCCTGCCAACCCATTCCCAGGCCCCCATCAAACTATGTCCTTCATCCTCTTCTTTCTCCCTCCCCTCCTCCACCCTCGGGCCCCAGAAGCTGCTGGGCAAGCTGTGTGAGCAGAGCAAGGTGGTGCAGGAGCAGGACCGGCTGGTGCAGCAGCTCCGAGCGGAGAAGGTGAGAACCCAGGGTGGGCTGCAGCTGGGGTGTGCGGGCGGGCAGGGCGGGGCTGGCTTGGAGAAGGTCGTGGGCTGCTGTCTCCATCCAGGCTGGCAGAGCTTGGTCCTTCCTTAAACTTCTGTCCCACCCTTAAGCAGAACGGCTGGCTGAAGGTCTCCCGGGCCCTCAGCCAGTGTGAGGACAGCCCCCCCCCAAGCTGCCTGCTCCGCTTCTAAGGGCTCAGGCCCCTGCTGTTAACAACCCCAGAAAGGAGCCACCAGGGCTGCTCACGGCCGCCCCCTGCCTTCCTGCAGGAAAGCCTGGAAAGTGCCTTGATGGGGACGCACCAGGAGCTGGAGATGTTCGGCAGCCAGCCCGCCTACCCCGAGAAGCTGCTGCACAAGAAGGAGTCGCTGCAGAAGCAGCTCATCAACATCCGCGTGGAGCTGTCTCAGGCCACCACGGTAACCGGGCGCAGGGCCTGCGCGCCCGCCACCCGCTCGGCCCAGGGCGCCCACCTGCCCGAGTCCAGATGCTCCTGGGAGGGCAAGAGCAGGGCGCTCCTCCCTGGCAGGGGCCTAAACAAAGACGTCGACACTGCCTGGCAAACAGGCGACCTTCACTGCGGGTGGCGTCTCCGCCGAGGGAATGGGCTCATTTCCCACCACGCCTGTCCCGGGACTCACTCAGGACGGCGAGAGGTGGCAGGGCACTTATTTCCTCGGCTGCTCTGACTTCTTTGCTGCCCACTTTCGCCTCCTCCCTTGGAGAAGCAGGGCGCTGGCAGAAACCATTTCTCCGTGGGCAAAAGCAGACCCCTCCGGCACAGGCTGCTTGGAGAGTGGCCCCAAGAAGCAGCCGCAAAAGCCCCAGGAAAATGTGGCCCAGAAAGGAGGATGGTTTCCAACCTCCTTCTTCAGGCTCTTTTCCCTTTTCCCTGGGCAGAACAGGAGGGTACGGAAGCGATATTGTCCCCTTTCGGACTCGGGGTTCTCTTTATTTCTGTATGTGGCGGGCCAGGCCGTTGCTCCTCTTGTAGGGCTAGTGTTGGGCTGTCGTCAGGATGTCTCAGCCCGGTGCCCCTCTCCTTCGCTCCCTCTGTGCCCTCCTCCCCAGACCTCAGGCCCCCTGGCCCCAGGCCCCGTTGTAGGATAAGGAGCCATGCTTTGGTGACGGAGGCTTCTGCACTGAATGCTCCCTCCCCTGCAGGCCCTGACGAACAGCACCCTGGAGTACGAGAACCTCGAGGCCGAGGTCTCCGCCCTGCACGACGACCTCTGGGAGCAGCTCAACCTGGACGTGCAGGTGACGAAGGGCCCTGGGCCGGCTGGGGACGTGCCCTGTGCCTTCCCTGCCCTCTCAGGCAAAAGGGGCCACAGTGGCCTCCTCCCTTCTCACTTTAGCGATCTCAGAGACTTAGGGGGAGGAGTTGGTCCCGAGACAAAAGAAGAGGTTCAGGCCGCTGATAACAGACTCTAAGTTTTGTTGTTTTTTTTTAGACAGAGTCTCACTCTGTTGCCCAGGCTAAAGTGAGTACTGTGGCGTCAGCCTAGCTCACAGCAACCTCAAACTCCTGGGCTCAAGCAATCCTCCTGCCTCAGCCTCCCGAGTAGTGGGACTACAGGCATGCGCCACCATGCCCAGCTAATTTTTTCTATATATATTAGTTGGCCAATTAATTTCTTTCTATTTATAGTAGAGACGGGTCTCACTCTTGCTCAGGCTGGTTTCGAACTCCTGACCTGGAGCAATCGTCCCTCCTCGGCCTCCCAGAGTGCTAGGATTACAGGCGTGAGCCACCGTGCCTGGCCAGACTCTTAAGTTTTGGGGTGAAAATAATGTAGGATTCTTCTCTAGTCCTGTCAGCTCGCAGGCAAAAGAGCTAAAACATAAGGTGTTTATCATTGTAAGGATTTAAAAAACAGACAGGTAAACATAAACACCTGTCAGACGTCAGTAGAGGAGGTAGCACAGGATCTCTTTGGGACTTCTTAGGCAGGAAAGAGGCTTTGCTTCCTGGGATGGGTTAGAAACAGCCCACTGGGAGGCAGGAGGATGGACCTAGGGATCTTGGGGGTTCTCGTTCTTTCCTTCCCTCTGTCTTTTCTCCACCCAGGCCCTGCCTCTTCTCTAGCTAGTTTGCAAGCCCCTCTCTCTGACGCAGTTAACACCTGTTTTCTTCCTCTATTTCCCTCCTGGCAACGAAACTCACCAGCCCTACCTTGCAGCTGGTCAGGCAGGGCGGAGCCCCTCCCGGTCCCCAGGACCCGAATACAACCTCGTCCCGCCGTCAGGCCTCTCTTTAAACTCAAGTGTCCTAGGGAGCGGGCTAGGGTTGTGGCCAGGAGCACCAGCTTTTGAGTCGAGCAGCCCCATGTTTAGGGGGTGCCGTGCTGCCTCCCGAGCAGCCGGCCTCACGAGTGAGTCGGGTCATCCCTCGAGTGGGGACAGCTGCTGGCCTTACGGGAGTGTCTCTGTGCAGCTGACACGCGTCGGGGCCGCACGTGCACAGCGCTCGGCACAGCGCCTGGTGCCGAGGGACGCCGCATCAATGGCGGCTGTTGTCTGTCGCTGGGTGTGAGCTGCAACTGAATGTGACTCCTTTAGGTGTGGGCATCATTACAAAGCGCCGTTTGGGTGTGCAGAAAAAAAAAAGCAACAAACTGGAAGCTCTTGCCTGCTGGAAAACAGGCTACCACGAACGGTCCACGTAGAGGGGCATCCCCTCTAAGACCACCCCTGGGGGAGCTCGGAACAGCGGGTCTTCACTCTTGCATCTGAGACCCGGCAGTGTGGGGGCACCGTCCTGCAGAGGCTGCCTGCGAGAAAGATGACTGCTCCAGGGGCGGGGGGCGCTGCACACGGGCCCCCTTCCTCCTGCTGGCCCTGGGGAATATGGGCTCAGAGGGGTCCGGGCTGAGAGGCGGGAGCTGGGGCACCCCTCGGAGTCCTCTCCTTTGACTGGCGCTGCGGCCGTTTCAGAACGAGGTGCTGAACCGGCAGATCCAGAAGGAGATCTGGAGGGTGCAGGACGTGATGGAGGGGCTGCGCAAGAACAACCCCTCCCGGGGCACGGACACGGCCAAGCACCGAGGTGGGTGCCGCCTGCGCCAGCCTCTCGGGCTTTTTGCCTCCCAGAAGCGCTCCCCCCACCATTCCTGCCAGCTCACACCGTGCTCAGGGCCTGCTCAGGGCTGTAGCATTCGCCCCTGGGCCCGGGGTTGGCGGTTGGGGTTCCGTTCCCCCCCCCGGCCCGGCCCGGCCGGCCCCCTTGTTCTTGGGGCTTCTTCTCCGGGAATTTTCAAGGGGCCGTTGGGCGGCCCCAGCCCTAAGCACATGGGCCTGGTGGTGACCTGTGACCCCAACGTCAGTGTCTCCCTTGAGCCCCAGAGCCCCAGGCTGGCTCTCTTTGACCCCTCGGAGGCAGTAGTGTCCTTCCTGCTCACCATTTTCCCCGCCCATCACATGTCTTCAGCAGATAGTCTGTGGCCCCAGCTCCTGTGATGAGCCCCCCCAGTAGACCCTCCCTCCTCATCCCTGCACGGGCCCCTCCCGGCCTCTCCATCCTGCGCCTGGACACACCCGGTCCACGCCCTCCTCTGTCACTCATCTCTCCCCTTCTGTTTCCCCCAGGAGGACTCGGGCCCTCGGCCAGCTACGGCTCCAACAGCCCAGCCAGCCCGCTCAGCTCCGCCAGCCTCACCAGCCCCCTGAGCCCCTTTTCCCTGGTGTCGGGCTCTCAGGGGTCCCCCACCAAGCCTGGGTCCAGCGAGGTAAGCTGAGAAAAGGAGTGGAAGGCGGGTGTGGGGGAGGGGGGACCAGATCCTTACTTGCCTGGACCTACACACACGCTGCGCCCGTCAGTTCCCCAGACGCCCCAGTTCTAGCGCTGGGCTCTCTCTCTCAGGGGTCACCCTCGCACCCTGTTCGTGACCTTCCCTTCAGATTTCTCCTGTACCTGTCCTCATCTCCACCTGTCATCTTTAGCTGCTTTTTTAGAAAAGTCCGTGCCTGAGCAGTGGGGTGGACAGCAGACAGCATGCAGTCCGTAGGAGTTTAAGTCCAGGGTCATGCCAGGGCCATGGGAAGGTCGAGGGTCGGCGTGGGGAGCAGTTTCCTGGCCAGTTGATCAGGACACATTTATTGGGGTTCTGCTGTGGGCGAGGGGTGGTGCGAGGCCCTTCCAGAAAGAGACACCTGTGTGCCCCACGGGCCTTCACTCCGGGAGCCCGGCAGCCAGTGGGGACCAAGGACCGTGGTTCCCAGGCCCGTGACGTTGCGTGCCTCGGTACCGAGCCACGTGGCTCGGACTGCCAGTGCTCTGATGTCCGAAGGCGGGTGGAAGTCAGACCGGGCCCTTCAGCATCTGGGTGGGTGGAGGAACAAGAGAGAGACGTTCCCAGGCACTGAGATGGCGGAGGCCCAGGCGTAAGGTGGGACCTCCGGAGAAGAGCCGGGGAGCGTGGGGAGTGGAAGACTAGTGGGGGCCCAGTGGAGGAGGGCCTGGAAGCCCAGGTGGAGAGTTGGCCCTGGAGCCGGTGCTCCCTCCGGGCCGGGGCGGGCGTCCAGGGGTCCAGGCCAGGTTTCCTGCGGTGCTGTCGTCCGCCTCCTGCTAACACTCTTTTCTCCTGCCCTCACAGGGGCCGCTCTCGCTCCTCCTAACGCTCTGGCTTCTCTCTGCCTCAGGAACCTGGCCCGCCTCGGCCTCCCCTCCCCAAAGCCTACGTCCCCCTGGAGTCCCTTCCGGCCGTCCCTCCTCTCCCTAGTGAGAGCCGCTTCTGGCCATACCCCAGCTCCCCTTCCTGGCAGCGCAGGGGCGAGACAGCCAGGGGTCAGGTACCCGGCACCCGTGGGTCCTGGAGGGAGGGGCCGGGGGGCTGGGGCAAAGGGCCAGGCAGGGCGCTGGGGTTGTTTTCCCCGTTGACTTTCCCCAAGGCTCGGTTGCTACCAGGCCCCCCCGCCTGGTCAGACTCCGGGGTGAGGAAGGGGCTGGATGAGACAGGTGTGCAGGCCGTCTTTCCCCTTCTCGATGGGGAAGTGAGTTGCTGCCCCACCCCTGCCCAGGCTCATGGTGGCCAGTGGTCGTGGGTGCTGGTGCCACGCCCTGCTCCCCACCAGCGTGACCAGCCAGTAGAAACTGAGTGACCCCCCCACCCCACCCCTCGCCGTGCCATCCCTGCCTCTTGCCCTTCTCGGGCCCAGCCTTCCCCTGCCTTCTGTACCTCTGCCTTGTCTCGTGTCTCTTTGGGTCTCATGAACCCCTGGCGTGTACGGATACAGGCCATTTTCTCCCCTGTTCTGGCTCCTTCTCTCACCTGGATCCCTAGCCAAGCCCTCCGAGATACACAATTCAGCTGGGAAGAGGTGGCGTGGTGAACAGAGAGAGTCCTGCGCCTAAACTGGGAAACCCACACGCTCACCCAGCCTCGGCTGTGTGGAACTTGCATAACCCCAGCGGGTTCGCCCAGCGAGGCGGGCAGAGCAGGTAGCATGACCTGCGTTTGGCAGATGGAGAGCGGGGATGGGACTTAGCCGTGCTCTTCAGCTGGGCTAGAACCGAAGCTTCTGGCCTTTAGCGGGTCTCTCTGCAGTCTGCTCACTGAGACCTAGGCTCTCCAGCCGTACAGGGGGAGGAGGTGACTCAGATGACAGCTGAGGTTTCTTCTAGTCTCATGATTCTGTGAGCCCACAAGCTAAGTGCCCTCTTCATCCCGCTCCACCCCCACCCCCCAGAATCCTGGTACCAAGGCCCACCTGGCTCTGTTTGCTCAAGCCTCTACAGAATCCTTAGAGACCCTTGGCCTTTTAGCTTTCTCCTCTGGCCATTCTTTGACCCTGGCTCACAGCACGTCTGAGCTGCTTAGTGCTCACACAAGACAACGGGTCAGTCGAGGGGCCTCGACTAGAGCCCTCCTGGAGCCCCTGGGCTCTCGTTCCCCAAGACGGCTCCGCATGGACCAGCCTGAAGGTGCATGAGTGGGAGGCTCCAATGCATCCCTGCCCGCCTCCCAGCCGGCACACACAGAGTTTCCTTGTTCCCTGTGTCTGTAAGGGCTTGGGCTTCAACGATTGCAAAGCAAAAAAAAAAAAAAAATCACTGGGGTCCAGATTCCCAGCAGCCACGCTAGCATCAGCGGTCTTCTCATCCTTTCTCCCCAGCCCAAGGCAAGCTATGAGCAAAGCAGGAAAGACTCCCGCCAGACCTCGCCCCTGGACACCCCGAGGGACATCAGCCTTGTGCCCACCAGGCAAGAGGTGGAGGCAGAGAAGCAGGCAGCTCTCAACAAAGGTACTTCCTGACCCACCTGCCCCTAGGAGTAAGGCCACAGGCCGGTCAGAGAGGAGCCCTGGGTGCCTGCTTACCCTCTCTGGGCCTTTAGTCCTCGTGGGGCGTGGGATCGGGCCCCTCTCTGAGAAGCAGGCTCCTGCTTTCCTGCTCCCGAAGAGGCCCACTGGCTACTCTGTGTCCCTGCAGTTGGCATCGTGCCCCCCCGGACAAAGTCACCCACGGATGAAGAAGTGCCCCCGTCAGCTGTGGTGAGGAGGAGTGCCAGCGGGCTCAGCAACGGACTCTCCTCCCAGGTGAGTGCCCACCCGCGGGCTCCGAGCGCTGGGGCTGGCCGGGCTGGGCCGCGAGCCCAGGGCCTGTGTGGGTGTCGCCCATCTGCCGCTGCTGTGCAGGGAGCTCGGGGCTGGGGAGGGAGGGCGGCAGCCGCACTGGAGGAGGAGTCCTTCAGGGAGACACGTCAGGGCCCAGGAGGACGTGCATCATAAATACAGAAGAACAGGCCGGGCACGGTGGCCCACGCCTGTAATCCCAGCACTCTGGGAGGCCGAGGCAGGCAGATCCTTCAAGGTCAGGAGTTCGAAACCAACCTGAGCAAGAGCGAGACCCCATCTCTACTAAATATAGAAAGAAATTAATTGGCCAACTAAAAATACATAGAAAAAAGTAGCCGGGCATGGTGGTGCATGCCTGTAGTCCCAGCTACTCGGGAGGCTGAGGCAGGAGGATGGCTTGCACCCAGGAGTTTGAGGTTGCTGTGAGCTAGGCTGACGCCACGGCACTCTAGCCCGGGCAACAGAGTAAGACCCTGTCTCAAAAAAACAAACAAACAAAAAATACAGAAGAACATTGAGCAAAATTGTCCTGACGTGCCACTGGTGGAATGCACAGGAGGGAATGCGGCAAGACTCGGTGTCCAGAGTGGCACGCGCTGACCCCAGGCAGGGTATCATTATGGTTTTCTGGCACTGCCAGGAGTTAATGAAGTGGCACAAACTGGGGGCTTAAAACAACGGAAACCGACTCTCTCACACTCGGGGAAGCCGGAAGTCCCGAATCAAGGCGGCAGCAGGGTTGGTTCCCTGGGAGACTGCGAGGGAGGATGTTTTCCGTGCCTTTGTCCCGGCCGATGGCAGTTCCTGGCAGCCCTTGGCACCCCTTGCCTTCTGGCTGTGCCAGTCACATTTTCGGCTTCCTTCTTCCGTTCCCGTTCCCTTCCCGTGGGGTTTTTTTTTGCCCTTGTTAGGGGCCTTGTTCTTTGGCCGGGGGGCCCCTTTTACCTTGGGTTGTTTTCTTTTTTTCCGGTTAGGTCCGGGTTCCGGGTTTCCGGGGTTTGGGCCTTGGGCCCTTTTTGGGGGGCCGGCCTTTGCCCCCCTTGCGGGCGGGTTTCCGTTGGGGGGCGGCGTTGAGGGTTTTGGGGGGTGGGAAGGCCGGGTTGGGGGCGAAGCGCGTGTCACGGCCCCACCCCGCCGCAGGAGCGCCCCAGGAGCGCGGTGTTCGCGGGCGAGGGCAAGGCGAAGATGAGCGTGGAGGAGCAGATCGACCGCATGCGGAGGCACCAGAGCGGCTCCATGAGGGAGAAGCGGAGGAGCCTGCAGCTCCCAGCCAGCCCCGCGCCCGAGCCCGGCGCTCGGCCTGCGTACAAAGTGGTAACGTCCCCCAGCCCCCCACGGGCCGCTCCCGGGGCGTGGCTGGTCCGGGCCAGCGCGGTTCGAGGGGAGCCGGGAGAGCGAGGGAGACCTCTCCCCGCGGGGCAGAAGAGCGACTTCAATAGGTGCTTCCTTTTTCTAGTTTAAAGAAAACAACTAACAGAAAGGGATGGCTTGATTATTTTTGTTGAAATGAATCATACAAAATTCAGTTAACAGAGAATGGTGCACGGCGCACCCGGTAGACGTAGCCATGACTTGCACACGCCTCTGGGGCAACTTCGGTGTGCCCGGCGCCGGGCCGGCCGGCTGATACGAAGGTGACCGTGATGCTCGCCGTTGCGTGGCCCTGTGCAGCTCACAGATCCTCTCCATGTCATTTCGCTGAATCCTTGCAACAGCGTTGGGTCAGGATTGTTGTCCCTGTGTCACAGGCAGGGGAAACAAGCGGGTAGAAACGAAGGGATTCCCGGGCCACACAGCTATCAGGTGCAGCGCTGGGAGTAGCCCAAGGCATCTGCTTGATTTTCCTCCCCACTAAATTTCAGAAATACAGAGAAATTATGACTCCTACGTCCTGCCCTCGAACAGTTTACCTTTTAGTCGATGGATGGGGACCTCTGTGATAGGAAACCGTTAGAAATCGATGCGAGACACACGAACTCAACTCCTGAAAGCCACGGCCCAGGATGTGGGCGCAGGGCAGAGCGGGACAGGGAGCGCTGCACGTACTGACGAGAGATGATGAGATCTCACGTCCGGGGGTTGCCGGGGGGTGGCTTTGGGTCAGAGAGTGGAGGGCGGCCCCGCAGTGGGAGCCCTGCGGTGGCCCCGGTGGCCGTGCTGGGCAGGGAGAGCGAGGACGGGCAGTGTGGTGGGTGGAGCTGCCTGGAGGCGCGGGCAGCAGGGGCGTGGTGGTGACAGCGCTGTCCCCCAGGTGCGCCGCCACCGCAGCACCCACGAGGTGGACATCTCCAACCTGGAGGCCGCGCTGCGGGCGGAGGAGCCGGGGGGCCAGGCCTACGAGACGCCCCGGGAGGAGATCGCCCGGCTGCGCAAGATGGAGCTGGAGCCCCAGCACTACGACGTGGACATCACCAAGGAGGTGGGCAGAGTGCGGGAGGGGCCGGCGGGGCAGGCCCTGGCGGGGGGCGTTTGTAGGATGGTGACCTCGCTCCCTCCGCAGCTCTCCACCCCGGACAAGGTCCTCATCCCCGAGCGGTACATCGACCTGGAGCCCGACACGCCCCTGAGCCCCGAGGAGCTGAAGGAAAAGCAGAAGAAGGTGGAGAGGATCAAGACGCTCATCGCCAAATCCAGGTAGCAGGCCCCGGGCGAGCCTCCGCCCGCTCTGCCCACCCCGGCACCTGGGGCACCCGGGCCACTAGATGTCCCTGGGGCGTGCAGAGCCCCCCAGGGGAGAGCACGTGGAGGCAGCGGCTCCAGACAGCAGGCGGGCCGGGCACCGGCAGGGCGAGGGTGCTGCTGCCGGGTGCTGGACGGACCTGCTGGGCTCACGCACATCCGGCCGTGGAGACAGAACCGAAGGGTCGCCGTCTGGCGACTTCTTTTCTTTCCCCTTCAAGGCCGCCCTAAGTGTTCACTCGAGCCTCTTAGTTCATTTGAAAACCCTGAGGGCAAGGGGTCCCAGCCTCTGTCTTGCCAGGGCCCCACTCGCTCCTGGGGACAGCCTTGCCGGGAGCCAGAGACCGCAGGCAGGGGCCCCGGCCCTCCCCGCCAGCCTCCGCCGCAGGCCCCCCAGGCCGGCCAGCCCATCCTGCCCCCCCATGTCTGTGTGTCTGTGCCTCTTCAGCATGCAGAGCGTGGTGCCCGTCGGCGAGGGGGACTCTGTGGACGTGCCCCAGGACTCTGAGAGCCAGCTGCAGGAGCAGGAGAAGCGGATTGAAATCTCCTGCGCCCTGGCGACCGAGGCCTCACGCAGGGGCCGCATGCTGTCTGGTGAGAGGGGCTGGGCCTCGCCCCGCCCTGCCAGGGACCCAGCCGCCCAGGCGCAGGGGAGGATGCTCAGGGCTGCTGCCAGGGGGGCAGGGACAGAGAGGCGCAAGGCCAAGGAGAGGCTCCTCAGGGTCAAGGTGAGCATGCGTTGAGCGCCAGGTGCTGTGCTAGGCTCAGGGAGGTGCAAGGGGGCCAGAGCTGGGCGGTGATGCGCGCAGCCGCTCTGCGGAGCAATGGCAGAGGCCGCGCAGGGAGCACGGGCAGCCGTACCGCCTGGGCAGGTCAGGGCGAAGGTGCAGGGAAAAGGTGACACCTGAGCTGGATTGGGAAAGGTGAAGGCATTCCCCGGGCGTGGAGAGAGGGCCGGCCGTTCCAGGGCACTCCCCGTTTCCCGTTCTTGCCGCTTGCCGGCAGGAAGACTAAAAGAGCACATCACGCAGGCAACCGGAGGGCTGAGAGTGACACGGTCTCGCTGCCTTGGCGACTGACCCAAACCCGCTTTCCTGTAAGAAAAGGTGACTGTGAGGAGCTGACTTCACACCGAGACAGAGACTCGTGGGTCCCCAGTAGCTGCTGCTGGGGTCGAAGCGAGCGGGGTCAACGTCTGCTCATCTCGGGGTAGACGAGGACATGGCAGGGCTTGGAGGAATGGCAGAGATTCAGCATGAATGAGGAGGGTTAGAGGCAGAGGAGAGACGGGGTGAGTCCTGGAGCCTGGGAGACTGTCCTCCTCACCAAGACGAGGGTGGTTAGGATGGACAGGTGGGTGAGAGAGAGAGAGAGCTCTGAAGGCCAAGGCGTATAGGTAAGAGGAGTGACCCAGCAGGGAGCCATGGTTTAAGATGACTTTGGCAGAGGAGAGAGACCAGGTGTGCAGGCCACAGGTACAGCAGCCCGGGCGACAGTCAGGCAATAGGCAGGTGAGACTGCGGCTAGGAACACAGTGGAAGGGACGGCATCTCATGCTGGTGACTACAGAGGGTTCAAATTCTAGTGCCCTGAGGCTCCGCGTCCTCATCTGTAAAACTCCAATGAAAATACCTGCCTCCAGGTCTGGTAGGGTGAGGGTCAGAAACGGCGTGTGCCAAGCCCTAGCACAGTGCCTGGCATTCAGTAAGTGCTCAATACATGCTTGTGAGCGGCGGTAGTGGTGGTGGTGGTAGTAGTAGTAGTAGTAGTAGTAGCAGTGTTGGTGATGCTGGTAGTAGTAGTTGAAATAGTAATCGCTGAAGTAGATATAGGAACCCTTTGTTGTTTTTCTAATTATTTCAAATGTGGATGTTTCTAGAAACCAGAAGATTCTAGGCTACAACTAAAAGGATTTAAGTAAGCCTCGAGGAAGAACCTACCGAAAGGGTATAGTGGACTTTAGAATGGGTGGCCAGGGAGAGCCCTGGAGGTATTTCAGGGAGAGGCTGGCATTTGGGCTGGAACTGAGGGAAGAGCAGGGATGGCTTCAGAGAACCCCATCCTGCAGCCGAAAGGCAGCAGAACCAGTTTGGCCACAGGGAGGGAGGCCTCTGTTGGACCTCCCTGTAGTTTAGCTGCAAAAGGAACTTGAACCTTCCAAAGATCAAATTCCACATGATCCGGGCCAAAGGCAACTTCCCGTTTTCAAGGGGTTAGAGCCCCAGCAGCACTGGTTTTAAAGCTTCGCTCTGCCCCAGCCCCAGCCCCAGCCCCAGGCTGTCTCTGCTGAGGGTGCCGAGAAAACAAAACCCACCCAGCCGATCAGATCTCCCCCGAGATACACGAGATACACGTGGGCTTACGTTTCAGGGTCACCTTGCTTTTGCCAAAACCTCAACTATTCAAAGAATGGCTGTGGCAGGGCCAGACCTCAGGCTTAGCCACTGATCCCACCAGCCCTGGCCCGAGGCCCAGGCCCCCAGAGCTGCTCTCTGCCGGCACAGCCAGGGCTGGCCCCGGGCACATGCAGCGTGGGCGCAGCTTCACGCCCGGGGCGCCCTGAGTGCGGCTGCCGGGCACAGGTCACAAGGGCAACGTGTAACGGGGACAGGAGGCAGCGTTAAGTGCCCGCGTGTGGGTGTGTGGCATGGATAATCACTGACGCATGTTGAGATGCTTGTAAACCCACTGATGCGTGCGGACTCGGGTATGTAGTGTGTGGGAAGACGGGGCATTTTTGAGTTTGTGTGAGTGTCGCCTGCAGTGTCTGTATCTGGTAATGTTTGCAGACACAGGTGTATCTGTGTGTATTCAACTATGAAATGTGGGGCTGGAGAGAATGTGTTGAGTGCAGAGACAGGAGCATGTATGCACGCGTGTGCACGCGTGTGCAGAATGCCCAAGGACGTTGTGTGGAGACCTGTTATTGACGAGTCTAGGTAGCATGTGGGGAGCTGTTGGTGCACAGATGTAAAGATACATGAGTGTACGGCACACGAGTGGCGGTAGCGATTTCAAACGCACACGTTTACATCCGACTGGCTTTCTGCAGGATAGGAGACCATAAAGCACGCCTGCGTGTGTGTTGCGTGCCGTGTGTATACTGCCGTATCTGTGAGCGTGTGTCTGCAGGATGCGAGAGGGCACAGCGCCGTGAACGTGAGCACGTGCGGCTGATCGTGTCTGCGTGCAGATGCGGTACTTGTGGCTGCACACGTTGTAGCATCACATCTGCCCAACACACGTCGGCTCCCCTCCTGAGTTTTGACTATTCCAATGGATATATATAACCGATATATATTTAGTGTTTTTCTGCCTTCTTAAAGAGGTTCTAGTTACATAATTGACCTTTCTCACTCATTTAGTAGCATGTAATACTATTTTGCTGACCTTTGTTAAAGGGGTGCCCTGAGGGGCTGCGACCGATACAGATCTGTTTGCAGCTTCGCTAAATGTCCCCAAACTGTTATACTTTTAAAGTCGTTATGTCTACTTCTTACAAAAGATTTTCCCTCTTCAGTCATGCCTTCCTATCGATGTCAATGGGCCTCAATTCCTCTCTCTCTCTCTCCTAATTTTCCTGTTTTTAACATCCTTTGGGTTGGAGACCCGGCAAGTCTCACTAGTTAGATTGTGGTGATACAGTGACTGGACTCCAAGGGGCTCTCCTCTGAGTAAATGCCAAGAGCCTCACGGCGTGTGGGGCCCAGAACATCTGTCTTGGCTTCCTTGAGGTGTTGCTTGCTTTGTTTTTGTTTTTCCAGCTGTTTTAGAAGCGGAGGTTGCCAGGCACTAACTAGCCGCCGGCCGGCGATGTGGAAATGCACACGCATGTGTTTGAGAGCGGTTACGAATGCAGCCGCGTGGCGGGTTGCAAGTGTCTTGGGTCACGTGGAAGGACACACACACACACACACACACACACACATCTGTGAGCTGCGTGCCATGAGTGTAATGATACGGTGTTGCCGGAACCACGCACAAACTACTGCCGTGTGCGGGCGGACACGACTCCGCATCCATGCAAGAGCTGCGTGTGTGCTGTGCGCGTGTGGGTGTGTGTACAATGGCCACGTCGGCCCTTTCTCTTGCGTAGAGGGCGGGGAAGGCGATCTCAGGTGAGCGCAGGGAACCGGCAAGTTCAATGTCAGGACCCCTGCCTGGGTGGCAATGCAGTGCGAGCCTGGCTGAGGTCTGGTTCTTCTCCCAGCCTGAGCGAGGACGCTGTCTCTGCCATCCTCCTGCCTCGCGGCCACGGTGAAGATGCCCAGGGGCCTGGACTGCGCAGAGCTTGTCCCCAGGGATGTGTCTCCTCCCTCATTGCCCTTCTACTTGCTGTGCTCAACATGGAGTGATAATGATAATAGAGTAAAATCTCATTAATTCAAATAGCACCACTTTCAGGCTGCAAGGAGTGATTTGTTCAGGGTTGGGCCGAAGTTTGTCTTCCCTGGATTGATGCAAGGGGGGTCTCCAGTGGCAGCAGGGAAGGCATCTCTGAGCCCCCCACCGTGCCCAGGCTGACAGAACTCACTTGAAGTCTTATCAGAAGCCACCGTTGTCGTGGCGTTGATCAACAGAGTGGGCAGTTCACTTCTATCTGTTTGTTAAATGGGGGCCTGACGGTTTGGATTGGTGTGATTTTACTGCACTATTGATCATTATCATTGCCGATGGCCACTGCACCGAGAGCGTCCCTCCCTGTTCCATCCGCATGGTAGGGGGGAGGTCCGGGAACCTCCCGCCGTGCGGATGTGATGGGAGGGAGCCTTGGCCTGCAGGGAGCCGGCCTGCGCACAGCCACACTGGTCCCGAGCAGAGCCTGGATGGGGCCAGGTCTCCTGGGGCCTCAGGCTCTCCTCCGCGCCGGGGGAGCAGGACCGCTTGGCCCGGCTTGAGCAGGCCCCGAGCTCGCTCTCCTCTCTGCTTGCCTCCCCGCCTTGCTCCCCGCCTGAGGAGGGCCCCGCTTGCTCCGGCGCCCCCATTCACCTCCCTGTTCATTTCTGTTTCCAGTGCAATGTGCCACCCCAAGCCCTCCCACCTCCCCCGCCTCCCCGACTCCACCAGCCAACCCCCTCTCGTCTGAATCCCCACGGGGAGCCGACAGCAGCCATGCCATGCGGGTCTGAGCTTTGACGTAAGCACTTTTCTACTGTACTTCATCACCCCCCCAGGCGTGGGGCCCCTCCCCGCCCCCACCGAGCCATCCAGCCCTCCCATCCTGGCATTGCTTCTCCCCCACCCCAGTGGCCTGTGCCGCTCCTCCCCCTCCCTCCACCCATGCACCCATCCCTTCATCCTCCCGCCCATCCATCCACCCACCCACCATGCGCTTGAGCCCCCCAGCACCCCCACGCTGTGCAGGGCTGGAGCCGGCCGGCCGGCAGGGCTGCTTCTTGGACATTGCGATGCCCATGGCCTTTGCTTCTCCAAAAGCAGACGGGGCGGGCAGAGCACAGAGCTGAGCCCTCACCCTTCGGCTGTCAGGGAAGGCACTTCCCTGCCACTCCACTCCCACGCCTGCTGCCAGCCAGCACACTTCCATCTGGGGGTGTGCACAGCGTCCTGCAGGACCCCCAGGAGCCCCCAGAAGCTCTTTGCTCACTCCCAGCTCTTACCGTAAATTACAGTAACACTGCACAGCTATAGCCAGAGGCTGCAGGCCCTTCCCTCACCCCAGCTCACACTGCCCACGGCCAGGCGAGTAGGACAGCGGGCCGACTGTTACTCCTCTGTTCCCCTCTCTCGGGGTTGGGGAGGTGGGTGGTTTTCCACCAGGGTTTTGCAGGATGAGACTTCTTTTTCCTGGGAAGGTGTCTGGAATCGTCACACCTCTATGCGGCCCTGTTCTCACCTCCTTCCTCTTTTCCCCAGTGCAAGCCCTGGCCGAGGCCAATGCCATGAAGCTCCACAGGGCCACGTTCTGAAGCCGTCCTCCGCCCACCTGGGGTCCTGGCTCCCCACCCCAGCCCCCTGCCCCTGCGCTCTCGTGGAAATGTCGCAGGGGACCTGGCCGGAGGCCTGGGGCTGCTGCCGAGAGGAGCGTGGATGACCCGGTCCTGAAGCCCTCGCTGCTCACGCACACCGCGGTCCGAGGCCAGGACCCGAGCTGGCCGGGGCGGGGAGCACCATCCTCACCAGCGCCTGAGCCACCGGGAGCTTCAGCCTCACTCCGGCTGGATTTGTGGTGGCCCTACTGGAACATTCCGTGGTGGAGAACGTGCCCTGTTGGGGAGCACACCCTTGGCTCCTATCGTAGTTCAGGGCTAGGGGTGAAGAGGAGATGGCCAGTCTGCCTCTCGGAGCCCACGGGACACAAGGACAGCACCACCGGCAGTTGGCCGTGCCCCACCGCCCCCGCGTACCCAGGGCTCCGCCCTTCTCCGCTCTGGGTGCTCCTCTGGGGTCCAGGGGACACTGACCACCCTGCTTGAGCCAAAGACGAGATGATGAGAGACGAGGAGAAGCTTCTCAGCCCCCAGAGGGGACGGTGCTGGCTGTGGCTGGAGGGTAGCAGGTCGGTGCAGGGTCTGAGGGCAGGTTGGAGGCGGAGCAAAGGGACTGGAGAGCCCTGGAGGTGGGCGGCGGCAGGCGCATTGGCAAGTGTAGCGGGAAGGAGGGAAATGGAAAGGGGTGTGGGATTGGTGTCCCCAGGTGGAGCCTCAGGTTAGTGCCCAGTGCGGTGCCAGACTGCCACCTCTGCTCCCCCCACCGCACCCCCAGGAGGACCCACCCGTGGAGCCCTTGGTGGCCTCAGTGGAGGTGCTTGGTGTGGGGACCCAGGTGTGGAGTGAAGGGGGCAGGGAGCAGCAGCCCAGGCGATGGCTCTTTGGGGGTCTGTGCCTGCTGTCTGCGTCCCCACCCGGGGTGAGGGCCAGAGGAGAACTCGTCTCAGGTAGGGTCGGTCGGCCTTGGGGTCTTACCTAACAGTTTCCTGAGATCGTTTTGCCAGATCGTGAGATCTGGCACGTGCAGTGGGCCCGCTGAGCGTGTGCCGGGGAGGGGGAACGAGGCCTCGATCTAGCAGCTCCGACTCCAGGGCCTCCCACCCCTCATCCCGGGACCCCAGGTGAGGACCAGGTGAGGCTTGGCGCTCTCGCAGTCAACCCAGCCAGGCGGGCCAGTGGGGGAGAGACAGAAAAGCAAAGTACACCCTTCCTCTGCGCCACCCACCCGGACACGCGTCGGCCAGAGAGGAGGGAGGAGAGTGAGGCCGGGGACGCCTGGGCCCCCCAGGCCTGCTCGCTGCAGAGTCGCTGCCCAGAGACTTCGGCCTGGCCTCGAGCGGTCCCCAAGAACAACTGCTTTACCTTCTACCGGTTCCGCTCCGCCCCGCCGTGGCTGGCACAGTGACTGGTTCCTACGCAAGTACAGATGACGGTCCACTCGACAGCTATTTATCGAGCACCTTGTGTGTGTCGGGCGCTGTTCTAGGTGCTTAGGGTATGCTCGTGCTTCGGAGGGCTTACGGACCGGGAGGATTCCACCGATCTCCACTTCTACCAGGTTCCCTGGACGTGACCTCCGGCTGCATCTCCCACCTTCCCGGTGTCCGCACCCGTTATCCGTCCCTTCTCTTCCGCACCCTGGCAGGTGGGGCGGGCTCCCAGGTCTCTCTCTCGCCCTCTTTCCCCCCAGCCTTCCTCCTCCACAAGGAACGGAGTGTTCAGAGCCTTCCACGCCTGCCCCTTTCTCCGTCTCTCCTTTTTTTAAGTAATATTTTTAGAAATACATGTAAAATACCAAGAAATAGTGTCTGTGCCTCTGCCACCTCTCTGCCATCTCTGGTTCCATAAAGCTGGCTCTTTATGTTGCTTCACATGCCTTAATATATGTTTTCTGGAGATTATACATATTATAGATATATACGTAATATATATATATATTTGTTTGCAACGCCTGATCCTTTCCGACAGCTCCCGCCCAGGCCTGTTTTCTCTCCCTCATTCTCCATGCCGTTCCCGGCGTACCCAGGCCACACCCCTTGCCTTTTTGATCCAAAGAAGGGGAGAGGAAAGACTTATTTTAAAGACAGATCTGTTTTACGCTTTTGTTAGAAAAGCAAATCTATTTTCAAAGTGTCAGTGTCCGGATGGAATTGGCGGAGGATGTGAGGAGACCAGGGCAGCCGCCTCGAGGTCCCAACCCTGTGTCCTGACCTCTGCCCTCTGCCCTCTGCCCCCTGCCCCAGCGCCTGCCTTCCTCCCTCCCCATTTTCCAGTCGGTGAAGGACTGTCCCCAGGCCCCCCTGGAGAGCGCCTTGCCGGGGCGGGGTGCTCCCTCGGACGTCCTGGGCTAGGGGTCTGGTGACACAGCCAGTTCCTGCTGACCCTCTGAGGGTCGTCAGACGTGAGACCTCTCGCAGGACCTGTGCACGGCTGTACGCACAGGATGCCCATGCAGACACGCACGGTCCCCAGACCGGCCTGCTGGAAAGGGCAAGCGGTCCGATGGCAGCGCTAAGGGTGGCCTTGACGGACCCAAGACATGGTGCGGAGCCCAGAGGAAGCAGCTTGGGAGGCTCCGTGTCATCTCTGGTCCTTCAATGCCAACACGTGGTTCTTTGGGCGTCTCACACCTTTCACTTGGTCCCTCTGGTCTGGGTCACATTTGTGGCATCTGCCTCCCTCTGTGACCTTTCACCTTGGTCTGGGGGTGTTCTTAAGTGGATGGTACCTCTGTCTGGCATCCAGACTGTGAAATCAGCTTCCGAGCTGAGGAGGGTCCTGCAGACCATGTGGCATCTCTCAGCCTTGCCCAAGAAGCCCTCGGGACTGTGTTCTGGCAGCCGCCACCACCAGGGCTGCTGAACTGAGCCAGCTCAGCCCCCCAAACTGCTCAGCAACCGTCGCGCTAGGCAAGGGGACCCTTACCTTGCAAGGGTTTGGGCAGGATGGAAATCTTTGTCCAGATATGAGATCTAGAGTTTTAGCACGGAGCTCTAGGCCGGCGTGTGTTGGCACCGTGTTCCCAGTCTAGAGCGTCTTGCTAGGAACGAACAGGGCCCAGACGGCGGCCCCCGGGCTAAGTAACCCACTGGGAAGCCCTGGTTATTCATCCAGGGCCTTCCTGATTGGCACATTACCTCCCTGATCAATGTCCAAGAGGCTGCAATGAAACACTGCTACTGTCACTTTAAAGATGTGCTCCCCTGCCTTTGCAGAGGCATGTTCTTGGGGCAGGGCTGACCACAGCAAGAGGGAAGCAATTCCTTTCCCAGTCCAGCACCCTCCACCTGGCAGCTCTTAAAACTAAGGAAAAATTATATATATATATATATACACACGTATCTATTTATGCACATATTGGGGCCAATTTGATTTGCTAGTATTAGACAATAAACCATACAAGGAAATTTATGATCTCAGTGTCTTTATTTAGTGTAAAAGTGACCTTAGAAGGAGAGTTAAGGTTAAGTAGACGGAGGGCATCTCTGTTGGGGGGCCAACCGGCTGTAGCGCATCCTTCAGCATCTTTCTAGGCACCGACGCCCTCCCCGGGGAGGAGACGCACCTGGGGGACGAAGCAGGCGAGGTTGCATCCTCCTCCCGGCAGCCGCGGTTCTAGACTTAGGTGGCCGAAGAATCCCAGTGAACTCTGCATTCGCATCTTGCAAGTTTGTATAAACCCGGTACAGGAAATAAAACGAATGGTTTGTCCATGCGGCGTGTGTCTCCCGCTCCATGTCCATGGCTGCCCGTGGGGTCCCCGACAACTGACAGGCTCAGCAGGAAACGGGGAGGGGGTTGGAGGGGCCGGGCCGGGCACAAACCATATCACCCGTCTCCCCCTGCACCTCAGCCTGTGCCGCCGGCCCCTCCCCACGAGCTGGGGCTGGGGGTGCGCTTCCAACCCAGGGCCGCCCTCTCAGCCCTGAGGATCCTGACCTCGCCGTGCACAATGCAGGTATCAGGTGCTTGGGCCCTGCCCCCGTCCCCTCGGTTCGCCTCTGAGACAGAGGGCAGGGAGGTAGGAGAAGAAAACGATTTCCTGGCTATTCCTGGTTGCTGCTGTACAAGGTGTATGATTTGGTGGGAGGTGCCAGAACGACCTCCCCAGTTCTCATTCAGCCTCCGTTGCTCTGGTTTATTTCTCTTGGCAGGTATTTGGTGGTTATCGGTTATTGATACTCAGTGCGGAGGACGTTACCAGAGCTTTTCAACCTGAAATCTCTGGGAGGATTAAGAGTCAGGAAGCCCTGTGAATCCCACGGGCTGGGTCGTGGGCAGGAAAGGTGAGCCCGGGTTCCTGGCAGACCTCCGCTGGGCTTCTGCAGGTTGTCAGAGGGAGGGACCGTTGTAGAAAGAGAAGAAAACCAAGGAGGGGGAGACGAGAAAGCAAGCCTGCTCCAATTCCTGAGTTGGCATCGGTTTGGCTTTGATAGCGGATGCTGAATTCTGGACACCTGTTCTCATCTCTAAGGGCTGGCAGAGTGGTGGTCATTTGTTCAATGTGACTCGATTTTGGATTTTGTGACTTCCCCAGGAAAGCTACAAACCCTGATGTCCTTCGTGAACCAGGGAGAGTCGGGACTAGATGTGGGCCCGAGACAGAGGCCTGTGAGGACGGGGGAAGGGGTCTTGGAGAACCTGTCGCTTTCTAGAGGCTGAGCCTTTACCTGCAGCCTCCATCTGGGCAGAGCCAGGCAGGGCCTTGGAGAGGAGGTGGGACGTGAGACCACAGAGCACCACGGGCGGGTGTCCCTGCATCCACGACCTGGGGCTGGCTCCTCCTCTCCAAGGACGACGGCAGCGGGTGCCTGCCCACTCCACCGCCCGGCCCAGACCAACCCCTGACCAGGCCAGGTGTGGGTTTGGAAACAGGGACAGTAGCTGAGAAGCACAAATGAGAAAGCAACAGGCAGGCTGTGCTTTAAGGAGCGGTGCCCTGTGACTGTGCGACCCCGTGTTTCTTCTTGAGCAGAGGCCTGGTGGGGCCGGGCAGGTGGCCAAGCTGCAGGCCCTGCTGCTGCCAGGCACCCGGCCGCGCCAGCCCCCGCCCCGCCCCGCCCCACCCCGAGCCACGGCGGCATTACGGGGATGGCTACTGGGACGGCTACTGGGACGCCTGCGCCCAACTCCTGGCCCTGCTCCTGGCTACCGATAGCTACCTGAAAATCGGACACGTCACTGCAATTCTGGAGTGTCTCTTTTCCTGTCTATAAACTGGAGATTTTAACCACCACCTATGGAGCTCTCAGGGAAGGCGAATGAGAAGATGGATGAAAAACACCTGGAAAACCTGAATTCCTTTCCAAATGTGAGGAAGCGGGGGGTGACGTGGTGAGGACGCCCCCCTCCCGGCAGGGGCACGACGAGGGGAGAGGGAGAAGGTTCTCCGGGCCTCCTGCTGCACCAGTTGCATCGCTGTTGCTGAGGCACTGCGGGGCCCTTGCCGTCCAGCCCCCAGGGGGGCACTGCCCCACCCCTTCCCCCGCAGTGGCCACGAGACCGCCGAGGTGGGGGCCAGTCCCAGCCTTCCAGGGCCTCCGTCCTCCGTCCTCTGGGGGTGTCCCTGTGAAGGGCCCCTCTCCGGGAGTGTGGACGATGGACAGCCCCTCTGGGCTCAGCTTCAGTACCGGAGAATCCGGCAAGCAGGGCCCAGTTCCCCGCGATGGCGGTTCTCCTGGCTCACAGGTGGGCTCCAAGGCTGGGGGCGGGGCTAGGTTATACACCTAAGGGAGCAGTTTAGAACCACACTGGAGGTGAGAGCAGAAGTCTTTCACACAGCAGATCAACAGCATACTAATAATAGCAGGAGTAATCGTTATGACTATACTAGGGTAGTAGCAGTAATAACAACGGCGCATTAAGTGCTAGCCGAGCACCAGGTGCCGGCTCTATGCACTTCCCCTGGATTTACTCACTGATCTTCACGCTCTCTCTATGCTGTAGGGGCTGTTATTATCCAAGCAGCTGAGGCACAGAAAGCGTGGATAAAATGCCCCAGGTCTCCCGAGCTAGGATGGAGCCCGGGGCTCTCTGACTTTAGAGCCCGAGCTCTTAACCTACCAGTTTTTTCACTGGGGGTGAGACTGTCCTCTAGGGGGTGTTAGGGTGTCTGGATGATAAGGGGACAGGACTCTCACTGGCATTTAATGACTGCAAAGCACGGGACAGGTTTCCAAAACAAAGGATTATCCCGTTTCCTGCACGGCTTTAGAACGCGCCACAGGAACAAGCCCACGACCCGCACAGGTCGGTCGGACTTCAGCTCATCATAGCAGTAAACAGTTTCTATAAGCTTTTAGATACAAATTTCATGAATAACTCAGGAAGTTAGGAGATGGTTATTGTGGAGAAGAAACGTAAATAGAGTAAACACATCGTCTCAAAATTATTGAATAATCTACTCCATGCATTGTCTCCACTGTGTATTGTAAGATTTAAACTCGCACATTTTTGATCGGAAACAGTTCCAATCAGTAGGTTATTACTGAATCAGCAAAGAGACTGAAAATACTTAACAGAAGAGGTTTGAGGGAACCAAACGTCATTAATGCAGAGTTACCTGAAATGCAGGCAATCTCATTAGATCTCCTTAATAGGAGTTTTTAGAAATGATTTCATGGCATTGCCATCCTTTATATTTTGAAGTTTTTTGCAGCCCAAGGATGAACACCCATGTTGTCGGGATGGTGTGGAAATGTCGGGAGAGTTGCCTGTCATTTTCCTGGGGCCCAGACGCAATTGCTCTAACCTGCTGCCAACACCCTTTCTCTTCCCAATCCATCCCCCATCCCCCACTGGAAATATGTGATCTCCAAGGCTTTTTAAGGTCCCTGAGACGGACTTTTATTTCAACATGCGATGGCAGCTCAAGACAGAGATCCACGTGTCTGTGACATTCCATCCCAACCCGGTTCCGTGGGAGCCATTCTGACAATACACACATCCGTCCATAAGACCCGTTCCTGTGCACGCACACCACACCACCTCCTCATTACCTCCCCCTGTGTTCTCTAATGTGCCCTGCTATGCCACCCCTGTTTCAACTAAGGTGATTTTCCTCTTTCCCTTATCATATGCAAGTACCTCTGGTCTGTTATTACTTACCTAACAGCTTTTAGTCTAGCGTTCACTCCCAACTACTCTTGTTTTCTTGCACGTGTGTGGTTTTTGGTTTTGTTTTTGCAGAGATTGGCCCTATCCAATTCTTGAATCCAATTCATTCATTCATATCCAATTCATTCTTTCTTTATTTATTTATTTACCCAACATGACCTTTGACTAATCCAATTCATTCTTGAATGAATATCTTCCATTCAAATGCAAGAATTATACGTGGGTGCAGGCAATCCATTTTACTTATGCCTTCTCTGAGCATTTCTACATTATGAGACATTGTGTTTTATTATAAATTATCCTTCTGTCGCTTTTTATCATGGCTAGCTTTATTTGACTTGTTAAAATGACGTGTGTAGGTTAGTCATAGCATCTATGGACTTCATTTCTGGGTAGAGGAGACATTACAAAGGAGACACCGCCCTGCAGTGGGAAAGGGGGTGCTGGGGGGCGACTGCCCCTCCTTCCCCCACAGAGGAGGACAGGATGTAGACACCCATGTCTACACAGCCGGTGCTGAGACTAGAACCAGGCCTCCTGCGTTGTCCAGCCCTACTCTAAGCCCAAATTCAAGGCTTTGTCTTCCACAGCTCAACCTCACAGTCCAATGCTGGACACCGCTGGGGGAAAGGAGGCCGGAGCCTTTGTGTCCAACTCCCTCGTGGCACTTTTGCCCTGGATTTAACCAAATGCAGCTCAGCCATGAGGTCAGCAACGGGTTTGACTCAGTTGCTCATCGCCCCCTACCGTCCAGCATGTGTAATAACAAGGAAAATTTGGCGCTCAAGGTGGATTTGGTACATTTCCAAAGAGATGCACGGATTCCAACTCTTCCCACACCCTCCGCCAGACCAAGCAAGGAAGCCGGGCACCCCCAGGGACCTGGGCACATGGACCCCCACTCTTCCATATGCAATCCAGGTTTTGTCGAGGACTTAGGAGCCCCTGAACTCAGCCTCGGGTCATGGGGGTGCATGGACAGGGCCAGGCAGGCACTGCCTCCTCTGGGGAGTGGGGCGTGTGGAGGGAGCAGCACCCTCTGGGGAGAACTGGAGGAGGGAGCCTGTGACTTTAAGGGGCCATTTGTGTGTTGGGGGGCGGGGCTGGAGGGGAGTTAATGATTTACAAGAAGCTCATTTCACAACTTACCAAGGGTCAGCTCCCTGTGGCCATGTACAGACTCGGTCCCTGTGGCCGCTCCCCGACTGCCAGCGCTGAGCCGGAAGGCCCCCCAGGCAGGGTGCAGCATGATCTCCATCACTGACTGGCAGAGTGAGTGGAACCACTGGGCTTGGTGGGAGGGAGCGGGGCTGACATGGGGCTGCGGGGCTGCGGGCTGGGGTGGGTGGGGCCAAGCCCCTCCCAGTGGGTGCCCTCTCTGGGGGAACCTACAGACTGACCTCTGGAGCCAGGGCCTGGGAGCTGCTTTGCTGGCATCCCTGAGGCAGTGGCGGGGTGGGGTGTGGCTCCCCTGCCTTGCCCTGGGCCACAGGTAGCCAGAGGCTGGTGCCTGGGGGAACCGGCGAGTTCACCAGCCAAGCCGACCTCTCTCCAGTCCAGGATTCTCAGACCTGGGAAGCCACGAAGGTGGACTCAGGAGGCCTCTGCCCATCCAGACATCTTTGCCCACAAACCCTCCACGTGTCCTCTGGCCCCAGGGTCGGAAACCACAGTCCACTCCCCTGCCCAGGCCCCCATATCCTCACTCCTAAACATCCCCGCCCTTCCTTTGCGGAAGGGGTAGGGAGGTAGCCAGCGGGTCTGGGCTGGTGGGGACCCCTGGGGCTCTTGGCCAAGCGCTGTGTTGAGCAGGGAGTATACAACAGCGGGTGAAACAGATGTTGCTCCCTGCTTGCATTCTAGAGAGGGGGGCAGGTAGTTAACCGATGAAGAAACAACTGTGTAGTATGTCCGTTGGTAATAAGTCCTCCCGGCAAAAGTAAAACAGGGTAAGGAGGCTATGGCGTTCGGGGTAGGAGGGGCTGCTGTTTTATCCAGGGTGCTCAGGGAAGGTGCCCTGCATACAGAGACCTGCAGGGAGTGAGGGAGCAAAGCCGTGCAGCTATCTGGAGTAGAAATATTCCCGGAAGAGGGGACAGACAGTGCAAAGGCCCTGGGGCATTAGCATACTTGGGGTGTTTGAAGGACAATAAGGAGGCCAGAGTGAAGTGAGTAGTAGATGGGGAGAGTCTGATTTAGACTCTTAGACTCTAAGAGTTCAGGTCAGGGAGGTCCCTGGGGGGGCGGTCAGGCCACATAGAGACTTATGGGCCATGGTCAGGACTTTGGTTTTATCTGCATAAGACGGGAAAGCACTGGAGGGTTTTGTGCAGAGGCAGGAGAAGCTCTATTTGCATGTTTAAAAGATCACTCTGTGTGCTGGGTGGAGAACAGGCTGCACAGGGGGAGCGGAGCAGCAGGGAGGCCAGTCCTGAGCGACAGGACAGGCGGTGGAGGACCAGGGCGTCGGCAGGGAGGAGGCGGGGGTGCTCCACGCTGGCTCAGTCTTCGGGAGACTGCAGGCAGGGCTTGCTGATGGATTGGATGTGGGTGTGAGAGAAAGAAGAGTCAAGAACGGTCTCCTATATTTTTGTCCTGGGAGGGCTGAGCAGGAAGGAGAGCGGGAGCCGGGTTTTGGCGGTTGGAGTTTGAGCTGTCAGACATCTGGGTGGGATGTAGCGGGCAGTTAGCAGTTCCTGCTGCTGAGTCGGCAGGAGGAGCCTGGAGTCCTAGATAGAGACCTGGGCTGGAGGCGGACATTTGGAAGTCGCCTCCATGTAAATGGCATCTCAAACCGTGACAGTCCACGAAACCACCTAGGGCACGGTTCCTTAGCCTCCCCACTGCTGACGTTTTGGGGTGGGATAATTCTTTGTTGCGGGGGAGGGGGGCTGTCCTGTGTGATAGAAGATTCTAGCAGCATCCCTGACCTCCACCTACTAGATGCCAGGAGCACCCTCTTTCCCACCCAAATGGTGACAATCAAAAATGTCTCCAAGCATTTGCAAATGTCCCCCGGGGAACCAAATCATCCTCCCTCATTCTCCACCCCCACCCCCTGCTGCTGGCTGGGAACCACTTGACCTGGGGGATAAAACAGAGAGAGAAGAGGGCTGAGGGCCCAGGCTGGCGATGCAGCAAACCAGTCAGCCTGCAGGCGAATATACTCTTGGCAAATGTGGCAAGCCCGTGAAGAATGCGCTAAGTCCTGAGAGAGAGAGGAATGAGGGGACCAGATTTAGGTCAGGGGACAGAGCGTGGACTGGGTTTGTTTCCCCGAGGAACTGACAACTGAGCTGAGACCCGCAGCGTGAGCATGCGTTTGTCAGGTAACCAGCGGGAGGAAGGGCGTTCTGAACAAGGAACGTTCAAAGGCCCCGAGGCAGGAAGGCTCACATGGAGGCCATGAAGAGCAGTGTGGCGGGAGCGTGGCAGGCAGGAGGGACAGTGGCAGAGGGTGAGGGAGGACAGGTAGCCCCGGGCCCCATCAGGCAGGGCCGCTGTGCCATGGAGTGACGACAGGGCTCTGCTGCCTTCTAAGCTCGGGGGGCAGCAGGAAGGATGCTACTAAGCAGGACACTAATGTGATGGGGTTGTCTGTGTTTCAAGCTCCTCGAGTGCTATGTGGAGAAGGACTGGGAGGGGGGCGTGCAAGAATGAAGCAGGAGCCCACACGTGGTGGTGGCTCGCATGTAATCCCAGTGCCTTGGGAGCCCGAGGCAGGAAGATCGCTTGAGGTTTGGAAGTTTGAGACCAGCCTGGGCAACATAGCAAGACCCCATCTGCACAAAAATATGAAAAATTAGCCAGGTGTGGTGGGGCATGCGTGCCTATAGTCCCAGCTACTTGGGAGGTTGAGGTGGGAGGATCGCTTGAGCCCAGGAGTTCAAGGCTGCAGTGAGCTGTGATCGCCCACTGCACTCCAGCCTGGGTGACAGAGCAAGACCCTGTCTCTAAAAAAACAAACAGCAGTGAAGCAGGAGGCTAAATGGGGGCTGCGGCAGGAGTCCAGGGAAGAGATGACCGTGGCTGGGAATCAAGTGGTAAGAATGGAGAGAACTGGACAGCTTTCAGGATCCACTTTGGAAGAAGCAGCAAGAAAATTCAGCTGTGAATTGAGCGGTGACATTTTTACTCAGTTGGGGAAAACAAGGGAGGCTCAGGCTGAAGGAAGGAAGACACCGATAAGCAGCTCCATTGGGGACCATCGAGGTCAAGATGCCCCAGGGAAAAGCAGGCACAGGTGCCCAGTAAGCAGCTGGGTGTGAGCTCGGAAGCTCGCAGGGAGCCTGGGCAGGAGAGACAAACATCAACACCGTCCGCACACAGAGATGTTCAAAGACGTGGGGATACGTGTGAAAACAGGACGAGAAGAGAAGCGAGTTGGTTCCAAGCCCTGAACCATTCAAGTCCCAAGAGGAGGAGAGAAGCAGGAGGGGGCAGAGGAAACGGGCGCAGCTGGACCAGCCCTATCCCAGCCAGGAAGGCGGGGCGAGAGGAAGCCTGTTCCAACAAGGGCGTGGTCGGCGCTGAGAGATGGGGACTGACACCTGTCTGTCGCATTTGGCAGCATGGAGGTCATTAAAGGCCAATGCAAGAGCGGTTTCCGTGGAAGTACACTGGACTAGGTTGGTTAAAGCTACTTTTTAGAGCCAGACAACTGGGTTCAAACCCTGGTCCTGCCAGCTGCTGGCTGGGTGCCCCTGGCAGGTGACTTCACCCCTGTGTCTCAGTTTTGTTTGTAAACTGGGGCTAATGGCAGTACTTACCCCATAGGTAGTTATGAAAATCAAACGCATTAACGTACCTAACGTACTTAGACTGTGCCTGGCGCAGCGTGTTCATTATTCTGTTAACCACGGTTGTTAATTTTGAAAAGTGAATGAAGGTCCTTCTTCTTTTCATTTCCCTCCCTCCTCTTCCTGGAGCATTCAGTCTTCAAACCGTCAGTCTTCCACCATTAGGTAGAACAGTGGCGGGGTGGGGGTGGGGGCTGTGGTCCCCAGAGTGGCATGCCAGAGCCCCAGCTGGGTGAGAAGGGTGTTCACACTGGGGGTGGCCTGGTACACAGTGTTGTAGCCAAAGTAGGGTGAGGGGCATCTCTGCAGGGTAGGGGTAGGGGTCGGGAATAACTTTATAGTGGGGGGAAGACACCACCTTAAGAGTCAAGAAACATCCTCAGTAATGGGGCAAATCGAAATCACACATCACCTACCTAGATGCAAGGAGAAGAACATGACATCCACCTTGTTGCTATTTCTGCCTAAGGTGCATAACCTGAACCTAGTAGCAAGGAGACATCCGACAAAGCCAAACGGAGGGACAGCTACAGAATAACTGGCCCAAGTCCTCCAAAGTATCAGGTCATGTCAAGGAACTTTTCCAGACTTAGAAACTAAAGGCACATGGCAATTCAGTGCCACACGTGATGCTGAGCTGGACTCTTTTCCTCTGAATGACATTATTAAGACAACTGATGCAACTTGAATGGGGTCTGAGGGTTAGAGGAGAGCCGTGTATGATGGTTAACTTCCCAATTTTGGTGGTTGTGTCCTGGCTATCTAGGAGAAAAAAGGGAAACCACACAAAGTATTCCAGGGCGATGAGATATCAGGTGGCAACTACTCTTAAATGGTACAGGAAGAAGGATTCTTTGTAGTGTTCTTGCAACTTTTCCGTACATTTGTGATTGTTTAAATAAAAAGCAAAAAGAGGCCGGGCACGGTGGCTCACCCCTGTAATCCTAGCACTCTGGGAGGTCGAAACGGGTGGATTGTTTGAGCTCAGGAGTTCGAGACCAGCCTGAGCAAGATCAAGACCCCCGTCTCTACTAAAAATAGAAAGAAATTAATTGGACAGCTAAAAATATATAGAAAAAAATTAGCTGGGCATGCTAGTGCACGCCTGTAGTCCCAGCTACTCGGGAGGCTGAGGCAGGAGGATCGCTTGAGCCCAGGAGTTGGAGGTTGCCGTGAGTTAGGCTGATGCCCCAGCACTCTAGCCTGGGAAACAGAGTGAGACTCTGTCTCAAAAAAAAAAAAAAAAAGCAAAAGGAAAAGGAAAACATCAATCAATGATGTTTGAGACTGATTGCACAGCCTGGGGCCAGAGGGACCCCTCTGCTGGCTCCATACGATGCTTCCTTGGAGCTGGAGCAAGAAAGACATGTAGCACGGTTAAAGCGAGCTACAAAGTGGGGGGCTGGGGAAGCCTGGCTCACCTGCGTCCGCTCGGGGCTGCAGGCCAAGGGGCTGCACAGGGCACCAGCGCAGCCACGAGAGCGAGCGCCTTGCCTGGCCCGGGAGACCTAAGCAGGTCGGCCTCCGAGGTCTGGGGAGGGCCCCCCTTCCCACCAGGTGGCGCCCTGGAGAGCCAGGCCTCCCCGCGGCGGGACCTTCGCCTCCCGGCGGCGTCCTGGGGGCGTCGCTGGGACAGCGTGGCCGCCTCCAGCAGGGGGCGCGCTGCCCCACCTGTGCGGATCTCGGGCGCCGCCGCACACCTGTCACCCCGGGCTGCGTCTCTGCCCCGCTTGCTCAGGCTGAGTGACTTGTCCGGAATCGCTAAGCTGCTTCGAAAGCGAGAGGTGGAGACAGGTCTGAAGCTTGTGTGCGAGAAACCCAGTCTCTGGCCCTTTTCTGTGAGGTTTCGGGTGGCCCTGGGCGCTGGAAGCACTAAGGGGGGCTTATATGGAAGGCTGCCCCATCACAGGAAAATTCTAGAATTGCACCAGCCCTCGAAGAAGACTGTGAAACAAGTCGGAAGGGCGGTGACCACTCGTGCCAGCATCAGTGTTGCAGAAGAAAGTGCCACATAGGAGGGAAGACACAAAGGTGTCAGTTTGTTAAACACGCTCTTTCTGCAACATGAGCGTGAGGCTGTTCTTAAGGGTGTGCAGGGTGGACATACGGATAGTTTAACAAGACAAAACGAAAACCCAGTAAAATATTCACATTATGTTTCCACGCAAAAAAAAAAAAACTTCTAAGGGAGATAAGAGGGAAGGGTGTGCAGTCAGAACTGGAATCAATGACAGGTGTTTTATGGCAGGTGTAGGCTAATAACAGGTATTTTATAACAAGCATAAAAATTTAAAACACCTTTGTCATTCAGGTTAAACAAATATAGTGGTGGTCTTTCTCCGCAATATCCTAGCCTACACAAAATCATCATGACAATCAAAGCCGATGTGCTTCTAGATCTTCCACTTGTTGTCTCTGAGGATAGAAATATCACGCGGTGTGGAAGGAAAAACACAACTTTCATAACGGCCTATGGGGTTGCAATCTGCCCGGCTGTCCTGGGTTCTGAGAGATTTAATTCGGGCAGGCAGGAGGAGGCATCAGATAGATCATGAAGGTTTGTCAGAAAGAGGAAGAATCTGCCATCAGTAGAAAATGGATTCTCGGCAGCTGGGTGATGTGTTGAAAAAAAACGACATTGCCCTGGGTCCTAACAAAATCCGGCTTCTGCCAAGAGTGAGACCCAGTGAGACTGGCATTTTACTGGACTATGAGTTGAATGAGGTTTCAGTCTATAATTTAAATGTTAAATCTCATCTCTATATTTTTAGTGATTTAGAGGAGACCTTTGACCTTATTTCTGTATTGGAATTGATTTTAATCCTCTTAAAATCTGCACAGTAACAGATTATAAAGGATTAACTACTCGGAAGATGACTGTCTTGTTTTTCTTTCAGTTGTAAATATAATTTAGCCAGTACCTCTAGTTGAATAAACTTGTTTTTGTTTTTACAGTTCTGCCTATAAACAACCAGAGTAATTTTTCCCTTTACTTTTTTTTTTTTTTTTTTTTGAGACAGAGTCTCACTTTGTTGCCCAGGCTAAAGTGCCATGGCGTTAGCCTAGCTCACAGCAACCTCAAACTCCTGGGCTCAAGTGATCCTACTGCCTCAACCTCCCGAGTAGCTGGGACTACAGGCATGCGCCACCATGCCCGGCTAATTTTTTGTATATATATTTTTAGTTGGTCAATTAATTTATTTCCATTTTTGGTAGAGACGGGGTCTCGCTCAGGCTGGTTTCGAACTCCTGACCTTGAGCAATCCGCCCGCCTCGGCCTCCCAAAGTGCTAGGATTACAGGCGTGAGCCACCGCGCCCGGCCTACTTTTAACAACTACCTGTAAAAACGTGGTAGTAATACCAATTTCATAGAGGTTAATTAGGATCAGTTCTAAGGTGTTAGTTAACAAGTCCAGTAACATTTTCAATAAAGGTGTCAAGACCATTCAATAAGGAAAGAAAAGTCTTTTCAACAAATCTTGTTGGGAAAACTGGATATATATATATGCAAAAGAATGAAGATGGACTCTTACCTTATACCATATGCAAAAATTAAATGGATCCAAGACCTAAACATAAGAACTAAAATTAGAAAACTCTTAAAAGAAAACATAGGGGAAATCTTCGTGACACTGGATTTGGCAATGATTTCTTGGATATGACACCAAAAGCACAGGTAACTAAAGAAAAAAAAAATAGATCAGACTACATCAAAATTAAAACTTCCTGTGCATGAAAGGACTCAATCAACAGAGTGAAAAGGCAACCTACAGAATGGGAGAAAATATTTGCAAATTATATATCTGATAAGGCGTTAATATCCATAATATATAAAGAACTCTTACAACTCAATAACAAAAAGAACAACCTGATTTAAAAGTGGGCAAACAGCCAAGTATGGTGGTTCATGCCTGCAATCTTAGCACGCTGGGAGGCTAAGGCAGGAGGATTGTTTGAGTTCAGGAGCTCGAGACCAGCCTGAGCAAGAGCAAGACCCCCATCTCTACTAAAAACAGAAAAATTAGCCAGGTGTCTTAGTTCTCACCTGTAGTCCCAGCTACTCGGGAGACTTCGAGGCAGGAGGATCACTTGAGTCCAAGAGTTTGAGGTTACAGTGAGCTATAATCATGCCTCTGCCCTCTACCCAGGGTGACAGTGAGACTCTGTCTTAAAAAAAATAAAATAAAAATGGGCAAAAGAGGCCGAGTGTGGTGGCTCACACCTGTAATCCTAGCACTCTGGGAGGCTGAGGCAGGAGGATTGTTCGAGGTCAGGAGTTCGAAACCAGCCTGAGCAAGAGCGAGACCCCATCTCTACTATAAATAGAAAGAAATTAATTGGCCAACTAATATAAAATTAGCCGGGCATGGTGGCGCATGCCTGTAGTCCCAGCTACTCGGGAGGCTGAGGCAGGAGGATCGCTTGAGCCCAGGAGTTTGAGGTTGCTGTGAGCTAGGCTGACGCCACGGCACTCACTCTAGCCTGGGTAACAAAGCGAGACTCTGTCTCACAAAAAAAAAAAAGAAAAGAAAAATGGGCAAAAGACTTAATTCTCCAAAGAAGACATACAAATGGCCAACAAGCACAGGAAAAACATCACTCATCATTAGGGAAATGCAAATCAAAACCACAATGAGATACCACCTCATACCCATTAGCGTGGCTATCAAAAAAAACAAAGTGTTGGCAAGAATGCAGAGAAATTAGAATCCTTGTGCGTTATTGATGGGAATGCAAAATGGTGCCGCCACTATGCAAAACAGAAAATCAAAAAAACTAAAAATATAATTGCCATTGGCCCAGCAATTCCACTTCTGGGTAGATTCCCAAAAGGACGAAAGCAGGATATTAAAGAGAGACTTTTCACACCGCATTCACAGCAGCACCATTCACAGTAGCCAAAAGGGAGCAGCAACCCAGATGCCCACCAACAGATGAGTGGATCAACAAAATGTAGTGTATACATAGTATACAAGGGACATATTTGTTCAGCCTTAGAAAGGAAGAGAATTATAACACATGGTACAAGATGGAGAAACCTTGAGGATGTTATGATAAATGAAATAAGATGGTCACAAAAAGACAAATATTGTGTGATTCCAGTGATCCGAGGTTCAGAGGGTAGTCAGATTCACAGAGACAGGAAGTGAAAGGGCGCTGGCCAGGGGCCAGCGGGAGTGGGGAATGAGGATTCGTTTACTGGGTACAGAGTTTCAGTTTTGCACCAGGAAAAGAATTCCAGAGTCAGATGGTGTTAATGGCAGCTCAATAACGTGAGTGTACTTAATACTACTGCACTGTACGTTTTTAAATGGTAAGATGGTAAACGTTATATTTTAGGCGCATTTTACCACAATTTAAAATTTAAAAATTTAATGTATAATAATTTTAAAACGAAGAACACAGTGAATTTTCATTTGTCGACTATCACGGCGGCAAAGATAAGTAAAATGCACAATTCCATGTGATGGAAAGGGTTAAGGGAAAAGGAGCTTCATATCCTGTATGGTACAGCTCTTCCTGTGGGGAGTGACAACATGTATCAAAATGTCAAAAACATAGCCCTTGACCAAACAAGCGGGCCTCAATGTCCTGCACTTCTGCGCTGTGTTCGCTGGCTCTGAGCCAACTCCTGCAGCTTCCAACGCCCTGAGTTGCATCGCAAATGGGGGTGGGGGGGTCGCCGCCTTCATCGGCAGAATTGCCCAGGGGGTGGGGTGCTCAAATGAGAGTAGGAAGGTGGGGGCCAGGGCGGCGGCTGCAGGAGGGAGGAGGGCGATGGGAGCAGGTGCAGGTGGGCAGTGGGAGGATGAACACATTCCTGAAGGGTGACTTCTATTTTCTCAATCAAGTGTGAGTGGTCAGTACCTGAGAGCTGGGACGGGGCGGTTTGGAGGAGAAGGGGACAGTGAGGAGGTTGTTGGGGAAGGCATGGTGGGGGGGGGGCCTGAGCTCTCTGGGGCTGGCGGTGCTGAGTCTGCAGGTACCCTGCCGCCCGGGTGGGGCTGGGCTCCAGCGGTTCCCAGCTGCAGTGGCAGGAGCAGAGCAGGCAGAGGGTGTGCTCGGCCCACGCTGATCCGGATAACGTAGCATTCGAGAGGATAAAGCGGGGGAGCCGGCTTCTCCCCGGGGCCCTCGTGTATAGAAGAGGCCAGGTGCGGAGCCCAGGTGCCAGGCACACCTGCATTTCCATCCTTCCCGTCCCTTCCATCCCACCGCCCCCTGAGAGCTGGGAAGCTGCCCCTAGAGGGTGCCTGTCCTGTGGTGACGGGCAAAGTTTTGCCCCCTCCACCCCTCCACCCCTCCACCCCTCCCCTCCCTGCCCGTTGCAGAGATTGGCGTGGGCGTCACCGGTTTCGGCGTCTTCTTCATCTTCTTCGGGACACTCCTGTACTTCGACTCGGTGCTCCTGGCCTTCGGAAACGTGAGTCCTCCACCCAGATGACTTAGAGACCGTCTCAGCCACCTGCGTCCCAACGTCTAGGGCAGGGATGGAGCACGCGCAAGCGCGGTTGCGGAGGAAGGCGGGGCAGTGGTAAAGTCACAACCAGGACAAACACGTTTCCCGCGAAACGAGGGGCTTGGAGGACAGCGAGCACTCCCGAGAGGGGAAGGGTGGAAAGGAATTTGCGAAGGAAATGGTGCAGAGGCAGATAAAGCACTTGGGGGAGGGGTGTGTGGAATAGTAAGAGAAATGTAAGGACCCAGGGAGGGGAAGCATGGGACGTGCTGGAAGAATGGCAGCGTTAAATTTGACGAGCCCTGGCTAGAGTTCCATTGTGTCAGCCTAGCTCACAGCAACCTCCAACTCCTGGGCTCAAGCGATCCTCCTGCCTCAGCCTCCCGAGTAGCTGGACTACAGGCGTGCGCCACCATGCCCAGCTAATTTTTTCTATATATTTTTAGTTGTTCAGCTAATTTCTTTCTACTTTTAGAAGAGACAGGGGTTTTGCTCTTGCTCAGACTGGTCTCGAACTCCTGACCTTGAGCAATCCTCCTGCCTCGGCCTCCCAGAGCGCTAGGATTACAAGCGTGAGCCACCACGCCTGGCCCACCTGGGCACTCTTAAGGGATCGATAGGAGCCAAGCCAAAGATGACACGGGGCCATCGAGTGCAGGCCTGGAGTGTGATCTAAGGCCGTGGAGCCCCAAAATGTTCTGTGTGACTTGGCTGTGGCTGCCTGTCCTATTCAGGCCTCAGTCTTTCCCCCTGCGAAATGGAGACTCTCCTGTCTGTCCATCTTCCCTGGGAGGGCATGATGAGACGGAGTCCCGCATGAAGAAGTGTTCGGGATCCTAGGAATTGGGTGGGAAAGGAGCTGCCTTCCAAGCTCTCCTCGTCTCCGCCTGCCTCTGGTCTGTTCCCCGCCAGCCCGACTTCCCTGAGGCTCTGGGGCTCTGCCAGGTCGCTGGGCGCCCTCTGGCATGTCTCGAGGAGCCTGCACGCCTCCCCCCTGCCAGGCCGAGCCCCCGACACCCAGCGGGGTGGTGTGTCTGCGTCTCACTCCTCTCCGTCCCGACAGCTGCTGTTCCTGACGGGCCTGTCCTTCATCATCGGCCTGCGGAGGACCTTCACCTTCTTCTTCCAGCGGCACAAACTCAAGGGGACCGGTTTCTTCCTGGGGGGCGTGGTCATCGTGCTCCTGCGCTGGCCCCTCCTGGGCATGCTGCTGGAGACCTACGGGTTCTTCAGCCTGTTCAGGTGAGTGCAGACCCCTGTCGCTCTGGACAGACTCGCCCAGGCGTCTGGGTAGCTGAGGTCACCCCAGCAGGGTGTGCAGAAGCTGGGACTTGGCCCCCCACGAGAGAGGGGAGCCACGGGAGGTCGGAACTGGGGATGGGCCTCAGCTCAGGCTTTGGAGAGGCCCCTCTGGCACTGGGCTGGAGGACACCCTGGCGGGATCAGCCCGTCCTTTGGCAAACACTGATTGAGCACCTACTGTGTTCCCAGTGCTGTGCCTGTCACCCGGGAAGAGACACAGGGCCTGCCAGTGGCCAGCTGTGGGGGAAGGGCAGAGAAGGGCTGACCTTTGCCAGGCACACGCACAGTGGTCATCTCAGCCCTGCAGCCGGCTGTAGGATTGTCCTCTGCTCGGCAGACAGGCAAACCCACGCTCAGAGAGCGTCAGTAGAGACGGGATCTAGCCCTTTCTCTGGCTGGGCTCGAAGTCCTGAGCTCAAACAATCCGCCCACCTCGGCCTCCCAGAGTGCTAGGATTACAGGTGCGAGCCACCGCGCCTGGCCCAAGAGCCTTCCTTCTTAACCACTACACTTGGCTGCCTCTCAAAAACAGGAGTGCAGAACCAAGCCTGCCCCCGTGCCCAGGGCCACAGCTCGAGCCTTTGCTGGACCTCAGCCTTGCTCCCCACCTCTACCCCAGCCATCACTGACTCCTCCCTCCTCCCCTCTGCTCCTAGGGGCTTTTTCCCTGTCGTCTTTGGCTTCCTGGGCAACGCTGCCAACATCCCCCTCCTGAGCGCGGTAAGCAGGTCATGCACGTGGCTCGTGGCTCGGTGGTGGTGCCTTGGGGAGGGGGAAGCACACAGACCCGGTAAAACTACTGCCCCAGGGGTGGCGGACGCCCCCTGCCCCCAGACCCCTAGCCCAGGTCTGCCAGTCTTCAGCAACTCTTGCCCTCCCCGCACCTTCTGCACTTGACAAGAACGCACGAGGGGAGCCGGCCCGCAAGCAGGTGCGCCCAAATGAGTAGCTCCTTGCTAGAACCAAAGAGATGGAGACTCAGAGGTCTCCGTCCGGGGTCTCCACTCGGAGACTCAGCCGGGAGGTGCCTGAGGTTTCTGGGGGGCTGGCTGAGTCTGGGCCCCAGAGAGGATGTGTGACAGCCGAGGACAGCAGGGAAAGCAGGTGGCAGACCGTCCTGTCCTGGAGGCAGGCATGGCCAGTGACCCCCGCCCCTGCCCCTGCCTTTCTCTGGAGCGCCTGACAGAGCATGAGCTCTCTCGGGAGCCCGGGGGGCCTCCGGCCAGCACCTGGCTGCGCCCGCCAGCTGGGCACGTCCCCTGCCGTCCCCGTAGCTGTGCCTGGCGCAGCTGCCGGCTCTCAAGGCCAGCTCGGTAATAACCTGGACGTTGAGTCTGCTCTCCGCTCTTTGTCTGGGGTAATGATTCTTGGCTCCCACAGCTGTTCCGCAGGCTTCAAGGCACCAGCTCCATGGTCTGAACCACAGAGATGAGCTCCTTGAACTTGGATCATTGGTTGAAGGGGCTGGAGGGAAATTGGGGACCGCCCCCTCACGCCCCCGCGGGCGCTGACTCACTTCCCTGCCGTCTGGACCTCCGCAAGCCCAGAAGGATGGAGCGGAGTGACTGGCCTCGAACCCTCAAGTAGCTCAGGAGGCTGCCAGGACCACTGGGAGGAGAGACCCGGGACCCGGGGAGACGAGACTGCGGCTGACGTCACGGCCCCACCCTCTATTTATGGGAGGAAAAGTGAAGATTAAATTCCCAAGCCGTGAGTGTGTCTGCGACCCCATGCGGGTGTCTCCAGCCTGTTCAGTCCACCCCCCGCCTCGGGGCAGGCCACACACACACACACACAGACACACACACACACACACACACACACACACACACACACGGCATTCCACATGGCGGGGCTGTGGTCTATGAGGGCCGGTCCTGCTGTCATTTTTATCCCACGTTTAATAGTCCTGATGAGTGAAACAATACGTTTGCAGGCCCCTGTTAGCGGCGAGCACTAGCCAAGTGGTGGGTGCTGCTCAAACATCAGGCGATTATTCTGCGCGGGGCTCCAACCACAGAGCTTGTGTTGGGGGAACTTCCTGTGTGGGGAGCCCCTGCTTTCCGAGACCCCCCAGACTGACAGAAGAAACAGTCCTTGTCTTGGGGATCTCCTTGTCCAAGGGTAAAGGGAGTTCTTGCAGGCTCAAGAAAGAGAAACGAGGCCGGGCGCGGTGGCTCACGCCTGTAATCCTAGCACTCTGGGAGGCCGAGGTGGGCGGATCACTCAAGGTCAGGAGTTTGAGACCAGCCTGAGCAAGAGCGAGACGCTGTCTCTACTATAAATAGAAAGAAATTAGCTATGCAACTAAAAATATGTAGACAAAATTAGCAGGCATGGTGTCGCATGCCTGTAGTCCCAGCTACTCGGGAGGCTGAGGCAGGAGGATCGTTTGAGCCCAGGAGTTTGAGGTTGCTGTGAGCTAGGCTGACGCCACGGCACTCTAGCCCGGGCAACAAAGTGAGACTCCGATAAAAAAAAAAAAAAAGACAGGAGTCACTTGCAAAGCATGCATTTATTAATAGCAAATACCTACTGAGGGCTCTCTCTGCACGTACCAAGCAGTGGGGTAGGTGCGGAGGGTACAGGGGAAGGAGGCCTGTCCCTGGTCTCAAAGAGCTGTACCCAAGCAGTCACAAAACAGTATGATGGCGGGTGCCATGAGACAACGGGTGGGGCCCCACCCAGGTGCAGCGGCTCTGGATGTGCTGCCACCTGTCTGCCTTCCCTAGCACTTCCCAGGTACATCCATTTAGAGAGCTCCCATTTCATTCTCCTTTCTTAGAGTCCGCTGCGCACACACCTGTCTCGCCCATTGGCCGTCATCTCAAAGCCCTGTGCAGAGCAAGCGCTCAGCAATGAGGAAAGAAGGGACGAAGGCAGGAAACAGGAGGGAACCCCCCTGGTCGCAGGACACAGACCAGGAGCTGCCTTCGGGTCGGAGGCCTGAGCTGACCTGGTTTTCTCCTGGAGCGGGCTGCGGGTCGGGGGTGAGCAGCCCCCAAGCCAGCCGTGCCCTTCTCCCCTCCCCTTCCTGTGCTTACCGCGGCCACTTGAGACCGTGTGTCTGCGGCTCTTGCGTTCACACTGACACCTCCCCCCACGCACTCCTCACACGGGCGTCTCCACGCTGCTCTGCGCAAGGCAGAGGGGCTCCCGCTGAGCGGGTCTGGGTGGCAGAGGGTGGCCGAGGGTGGGGGACCTAGTGAGATAGAGTGAGAGAGCCCGGGGACAGCTTCCGTGGGGGCGGAGGCCCTCGGGGCTCGCTCTCTGCAGGAGGTCGAGGAGGAGGGAGGGCAGAGTGGGCTCTGGACGTCACCTGGCTCTATAAAAGGGGTGTGATCAGGGAGCTGCTGAGAGGGAGCCCAGGAGCCCAGCTTCCCTCCCTCCGGGCGTTCAGCCACCCAGGTCCTCTCGTCACCTCGGAGACCCTGCGAGCTCCCACCTGGGCCAGGGCCGAGCCAAGGTAGGGGCACTGCGCGCCCACCTCGGGGACGGGTCTGCGCTGAGGGCCTCCAGAGCGGGAGCAGGGATTTCTTCCAGGACTGACAGGTGCACGGGACGGGCGCAGGGGGCTGGGCTGGGGGCGCCGGTCTTTCCCGATTACCAGCTTGGCCAGAGTATTCTGGGATGCCTGGGTAAACGCACTGACGAGCGCTGTACTTGCGAAGCGAGGACGCCGGGATCCCAAGGGCTCTTTCTTACCAGACAAGGAATGAAAGCGATACGTAAACTCGCGTGGCGGGCTTGGAGGCCGCAGCAGCTTTCCGGGGGAACTGGGGAACCCCTCAGGGTTCATGGGCTCACCGGGCTCCTCTGAGCAGTTTCCCCAAATTATGACCCGGAACTACGAGCCCCCCTAAAAGGCCTACACGCCCCGCTCTAAGTGCCACCTGGGGACCAGGGGCCACCCCACTTCAAAAGCTTGCCAGCCACGCCTGGACTGTGTTATTCACCGGGTACAGATCCCCCCAGAGTGGGGGGACCCCAGAAATCGCCCACAGCAGGACAGCCGCTCATGGCCCCTGGATGCTGACGGTTCCTTTCGTGGGCTGGGCACTAAGAATTGAGGGAATCTGTGTGTGTGTGTGTGTGTGTGGTGTGTATGTGAGTTTGCATGTATATATGGGGGGGTACGTGGTGTGTGTATGTGTATATACGTACGAGTATATATGTGGTCTATGTTATGTGTGTGGTATGTGGGGATATATATGTATGTGTGTGGTGCGTGTTTTGTGTGTATGTATGTGTCTCATACGCAAAAGGGTGTATGTGCGTGTGGTGTGTATGTGTGTAATGTATTCATACATGGTGTGTGTTGTATGTATGTATATAGCATGTGTGTGGTATGTATATGTGGTATGTGTTGTATGTCTTTATATGTGTGGTGTGTGTACGTGTGTCTGTGCAGTGTGTGTGTGTGCCAGAGACAGGCAGAGTCCCCCATGGCACACACGGTAAGTGCCACCCACCATGGGGAGGAAGCCCCACAGGGGAGGGGGAGCAGGAGGGAGCAGCTGCCCTCCCAGCCACACCCCTGCCTGCTCCCGCCCCCACCACACCCCTGCTGCCACCACAAGGGCAGCCGGCACGCCCCAGCTGAAATGCACATCTGCACAATCCTGCCTGGCTCGGCCCTCTCCGGGATGGAGCCCTGCCTGGGCGCCACCCTCTTGTCGGGCCCGAAGTTCCCTCCCACCAGCCCCTGCTCCAGCGCCCGGCACTGTGCCCGTGGGCTCCTGCTGCGTGCACAGCCTCTGTGGACCTTTCTCCAGGTGGTCAGCGCGTGCTCAGAAGCTGCCCGGGCACCACCCTCTGCGGAAAACCTGCCCGGACCCTCCAGGTCGGGCTCCCCGGGCTCCCAGATTCCCCTGAGTACTCACGTGCGTCCAGTGTGTCATTTACGGTGTTGTTTTGAAATGGTCTCTTTATAGGTCAGTTTCTTGTACTAGACTTGAGGTCGCAGGGGCAGCGCCCTGTGTCTCAGCGCACTGTGCACCCCTAGACCTAGCACAGCCCAGCACGAGCCGGTGCTTAAGCAATGACTTCCAAACCAACTGGACCCCGTGCGTGTTCCCTCTGAGATGCTGCCTCGCTGTCCTCTCTAATGATCGGTCCCGCCTGCTGTTCCCGCTGTTCCCGCCCCGGCCCTGGGCCTTACGCAGGTGCAGACAGCTGCGGTCACAGAATGAACATCTGCAGGGACAAGCAGCCATCCGAGCGGGCAGCTGGCAGCCAGCCAATCTGACCCAGTGCTCTTATTTCACAGACGGACCCGGGAGGCCTGGAGAGGAGTTGGGGGGCCTGGGGGGGGCCTTGCTCATGTCTCACAAGGATCGAGGGCAGAGCTGGAGCCAGAGTCGAGTATTGTGAGCCTGTTTCAGGATTCCTACTCTTTACTCCCTGCCTGAGCCCTGCAGGGGGAGGCAAGGAGTGAAGTCGGGAGGGGGGAGGGGGCGAGAGCAGAGGGACGCAGGGGCCTGAGCAGCCATTAGGAGCCTCTGGGCACAATGACACTCCCACCTGCCCGTGGAGAGGGGCTGCAGGCTGTACGCTGGGCCAAGACAACCTTTTGTTGGGCTTGCAGGGCCCCTGCCTCCCCAGAAGTCTGTCTTTAACACACTGACTGACGCATTCGGAAAAAAAAAATTCTTTTCCCCGGGGCCATGGTGTTTTATTAAAATGAAGAACAATCCTTTCTAATGTATCATTTTTAATCGTTTTCTGTGGGTGAGTTATATGCAACACAACCCACGTTTTTTTAGAATTAAATTGTCAGTATTAATTGTAACAATAAGAACATCAACAAGTAAGATTTGCATGAAACAATTGCAGGGTTTTGCTTCTCGAGCCCCCCTGGGGTCAAAACTAGCCTGAGTTAAATACAACTCACACGGCAGTCCGCGTGTTAATCGTGTTTGCTGGGCTATCTCTAAGTGCCTGATGACTTTTTCAAAGAGAAATTGCACTTGGGAGCCGGAATAGGTGGGTGGGGTGGAGGGTGGGGGGCATGGGGCGGGGGAGAGGGTCTGTCTGAGGGTCAGGGCACCCAGCCCCCATCTCAACAGCAGAAATGATGAGGCCAATTCAATCCACGGCCCCTCGGAGCCACAGAGAATAGACTAGGAAGACAATTGACCTGATAAATCAGGGGAAGACTTTTCTCTTCCCTGAATTATAGGCAATAAGGCAATTTAATGACGGCCTTTAAGGCTGTGGGGGGCTGTGAGAGAGAGCAAGATGATTACCTCTTTCTGCCTTTTTTCTTAGAACAGGAAAAGAATTAAGTTTCTATTACGGCAGGCAGGGCCAGGGCCAGACTGAAGCAGGCATGTTCTCGTGGGGAGAGTGGCACACAGAGTGGCAGACGTGTGCATAACCCAGCACAGAGGGAAGTAGTGCCTGCTCCCAGGCCCCAGGGACAATGTTGGCACCTCAGTCCTCCACGTAGCCCCTGAAGTCCTTGCCCCACTGCCCCCTCCCCAGTCACTGCCACACACTGCATGGCAACCCTACCTTTCTCCAACATTCCTTTCAAGCAAACTTGAGATTCAAAATCCTGGCCATTCTCCAACCTGAGCAATCCTGCCCCTTTCACCGAATTCAGTCTTTCCTTCCTAACCTTACTGGCCTCTCCTCCTCCAGGAAGCCCTCCTGGATGATCCCCACCTAGCAGAAATTCAGCTGACTACACGGTACAAGCCGTCTCCACCCCATTTCCCTGATGTATTTGTTTAGATTCATCTCTCCAACCGGGGGCCTCCAGGGACGGGGGCTGCCTCCTCTTTCTCTCTCGCTTTCACTCTGGGCCCTGGCCCAGCACCCAGCCCAGACCCCGTGCCTGACCTAGTCTTCGTTCCTTCTCTCTGTGTCTGCTGCAGGGCACTTCTAGGACCTGTCTCCTCACCAGGATGAACTGCCTGGTTTCTTGGCAGCTGCTGCTTTTCCTCTGTGCCACCTCCTTGGGGGATCCACTGGAAAAGGGGGCACCTGTGGAGAATCCTAGAGCCACAGGTACGCATTGTCTGTGCAGAGGGGTGGGAGGGGGCAAGCGAGTTGTTGCAAAAGGAGATTTACCGTATTTTCCAGATTACAGCTAGAGTACTGGTGTGCGTTCAACGCTGCGCTTGGTGGAAACCTAAGACTGGCACACGTGCACCTCGCTGGGCGGTCCCATCGGCCCTGCGAGTCAGGGGTGGCTTGAGTCTGCGATGGGCATCCGTCTGCCCACCTAGCTCCAAGTGCTTCTTAGCCACCGAGCTCCCTCTTGGTTTTCTCACACTGTTCTCTGCTCTGTGCCAACTTCCTCTCTGTGCAGATGCTGGGAAGGCACTTAACATGCAACTTTTTTGGATCAGTGACCTCAGATCCTTCATGGGGAATCTGGAAAAAAAAAAAAGAGAGAGAGGGAGAACCTAAAAGAAAGGACAGATCTTTAATACCTGTCAACCTTAGGAGCTCACTGGGGAACTGATGAGCTGGAGAATGAGGCCCAAAGAGGGGGAAAGACTCCCCAGAGTCACTCAAACGCTGCGGAAACCCAGCAGGCGTGAGAACAGCCCAGGAGCATGTCTGCTAGGTGGCACGAGCTGGAACCGTGCTAGCCCCCGTGTCAGGGGCTGCGGGTTTGAACGCTTCGTGGTGTCAGCTTTCTGGGCAAACACAGCTCAGCCCCTCTGCAGCTCAGCCCGTCTAGCTGTGGTGCTCGGGGCCTCCTCTCTGCACATGTGACATCATCCCGCGTCCCGTAAGACAGCCGGGAGCACGGAGAGCCCAGCCCCATGCGTCCCAGGCCGAGAGTGTCTTCTTTCCTGGGATCAGGCGTTTTTCTGGGTGAGGGAGGATGCTTCAGAGGTAACCCCACCACTGCCCGGGGACACTGAACTGTCCTGGCAAAAGGTTTTGGGTAAGGCCACAAACAGTCGCCTGAGCAGCGATCCTCCTGCTAGTTTAGTGGGCGTAACTGGGAAGGAAGCCATCCTCCCTCCCATCCCAGCGGGGCCCTGGGCAGGGTGGGAGGTGCCTCCTAGGCGGATTGTCTTTACCTCCAGATTCTGTCCACACTCCTCTTCTCCAAAGCTTGCCGGGGCATTGAGGGGCAGGGCTCAAACCCAACCCCAGTCCCGAACGCACACCCACTCACACACCAGGCCTCATTCCCACTGATCTCTTGCCGTAATTGGCGAGGGTTACGCTGGTTGCCCTATTTTACTCCCCAAAGTATAGCGAACTCACCGAGCCTTGTCTGTGAAGTGCCTTCCAAATGAGCCTTGTTAACCCCTACTGTGAAGGAGAGAAATTATACCCGAGTGGGGAAGGTGAGCCAGTTAAGGCGACCTAGATAATTTCCATCCTTTCTTTTTTTCCAGGTCCTATGCTCAGCTGAGTAATTTGTTATTCACTGAGTCCTTAAGTAGCTTATTGGGGGGGAGAGGGTCAGAATTATCGTTAGCAGAGACCAGGGTTGGATCATAGGTGGGTGGGAGTAGAATGGACTTGGCTTTTGTGATTTCTGTTATTACACGTTTTTCTTTAGTTTTTATATATTTCATACGCGTTTACTGAGGCCCCCCTGTGTGCACGCCTCCGTTTCAAGCACTCTGAAAGATACGGAGATGAACGAGCGTGCCCCCCCACCCCAAGGGGCTCCCAGGCCAGCGTGGAGCCGGGCGGTGGGCGCAGCGGGGGCCAGAGCCCAGTGTCCGGCAAACACCATGGTCTTCCTCACTTCCAAACTCTACCCTGCATGTTTCCTAAAAGGAAAAAACTTACTACAAAAGTTACTTAAGATAATTCTGGCAAACGCTAGAAATCAAAGCTACAGGGAAGCGCAAAGGGCCTAACCGCGCAAGCTGAGGCCATGGTGGTTCTGCATGCGACGCTGAGCTTCCCAGGGGTCAGGGAAAGGAAGGGCAGCGCAGCGTGGGGACGTGGGTGTGTGTTCCGAGCCGCCTTCCCTGGCCCGGTCTCATCCGCCTGTGCTCTCTGTCCTAGGCCAGCAGCTCCGGCCCCAGGACCTCCTGGCCGCCTGGGCGCAGAGCCCGCGCTGCGCGGAGACGAGGCCCGCGGCCGCCGCGCTGAGCCCTCGCGGGGCGCCGCTGTGCGCGCCCCCTGACGGCGCCGCGGGGCCCCAGCGGCCGGGCCCGTGCGCCCCGCGCAGCCGCCTGATCCCCGCCCCGCGCGGCGCGGTGCTGGTGCAGCGCGAGAAGGACCTGTCCGCCTACAACTGGAACTCCTTCGGCCTGCGCTACGGCAAGCGGCAGGCCGCGCCCGGGAGCCGCCGCGGCCCGGGCGCGGGGCGCGCGGAGGGCGCACGTGGCCCCAGTGAACTGCAAACCCGGGGTGAGGGGCCCGAGCGCGCGAGCCCGGGGCGCGGGCACGGGGCACCTGCAGGGGGCGCTGGGGCGCCCGGCCTGAGGCAATAAAGAATTGCTGCCTGCGCACCGGCTGCGATTTGTTTGTGGCTGATTTCTGCACGCAGCGCTGATGAGGCGGTCCCCTCCTCTCCTGAGTTGGATAGCCGGCGGTTTTAAGATGCCTCTGGTGTCGCCAAGGGCAGTGCTTCTCAAATTAGATGTGATGAAGGAACAGGTTGTTTGCTGCGCAATCTATTGCAGATCAATACTTTTTTAAAAATGCAATTAAAATGGATCACTGAATTCCTGAAAAATTTAAAAACAACTAAAAAGAGAGCCAGGCGTGGGGAAATCCTAGCACTCTGGGAGGTGGAGACAGGAGGGTCACTTGAAGTCAGGAGTTCGAGACCAGCCTGAAGAAGAGCAAGACCCACTTCCCAACCCCCCCACCTCCATCTCCACTAAAAATAGAAAAAAAAAAAAAATAGCAGGAGTGGTGGTGCGTGCCTGTAGTCCCAGCTACTGGGGAGACTGAGGGGATCGCTTGAGCCCAGAGTTTGAGGTTGCTGTGAGCCAGGCTGACACCACGGCACTCACTCTAGCCGGGGTGACAGAGTGAGACTCTGACTCAAAAGACAAAATGCCAACTAAAGAGAAGCCCACATTGGGTGCTGCTTGCATGTTCCAGCAATATCACATTTCTATAAAAATTTCTGAAGCCGTCCTCTGAATTCCCAGACTTACCTCTCTGAGGATGGGTGACATGCTGCCGAGGGGCATGGGCTACCCCCCAGTGGCACTGGGTGGGGCCGGGGGAGGGGGTGTGCAATTAAGCACCTTCCCGTCCCCAGGGAAGTTATCAGCCAGGGGGGCAGTTCCATCTGCAAGGGGATGCCAAGCCCTGCCCCGCCCACCGAGCCCGCAGGCGGCCCTCTGCCGGGGCCTTGGCCCCAGGGCACTGAAGCGCCAGGGGCATCAGCAGTGTTCCAGGCCAGTCACCTTCCCCCAGGGAGGCCCGGGATGGCACTTTGCCTGTGTCGCTTCTCTCTGTCCTCGTAATCACCCCGGGGAGGTGGACGCGAATCACCCCCAGCTTTACAGGGAGAACTCTGAAGCTCAGAAAGATAAATAACTCGCTCAAGGCACCCCGCCAGCGAGTGGCAGGCTGGCGCTCTCCAGACACCGAGCCTGTCTCCCCTGCTCCACTGTAGTGCCTCTCTGGGGTGGCAGGCTTTCCTTCCATCTGCGTCAGAGCAGGAAAGGACAGTCCGCCCCACAGGGACATTCTTGGGGGGTCCAACAGCTGAGCAGAAGAGACCTGGTAGGAAGGCGTAGAGTTCGTCAGTGGGGAAACCCCAGGAAATCCACTTTCCTGCCCTCGAGAAAACCCAGTCCTATTTGACAGCCTCGGGGAACCCCTCTCCCGTTTGGTCTAGGGTGAAAACGTTCCTTCCCCGAGGGGTAGTGGGACCCCCCCCAATACTATGAGGCGTCAAGGTGTTCCACCCAGTGTACAGAAACCAGGACTCCACGGGATGGAGGCAGAGCTGTGTTGCTATGGCAACGAGCTAGGCTGCCGTGGGAACGTGACGACCTGCCCCACCCCTTCTCTACCCTGGAAAGCGCCCTCCGGGATCTCCGATTCCCAATACCGCTGTGAGCTCTTGTCATGGCATGTCGTCACAGCGTGCAATGTCGTTGTTTGGAAGGGCGTTTCATCCCCACACACCCTGGGCTGTGTCTCCGCACCTCTAGGAGAGGGGTCGTAGACTCAGTACCTATCCTGCGCAGGGAGCCCTCGAACCGGTCCTTTCTCTGATGAAGTCTGTGGGTAGGAAAAGGCTGCCGAGTCCCTGTGTTCAGCAAGACCCTGTTATATGGGTTTTAGCCAGAATCCCCCTCACCCCTGCTGCTTCCTCTCAGTAGTTTCCATGCACTGCCCCCCACCTGCTCCTTGGCTGTAAATTCCCACTTGTCTGTGCTATACACAGAGTTGAGCCCAACCTCTCTCCCCCCGCCCCACGGCAACACCCTGTCGCTGTCCCTGTATCTATTGCAATGGTCCCGGATACAGTCGTCCTTCGTGTGCTTTAACAAGTGGCATTGGATCATTTTTCTTTAATAGCACAGCCCCTTTCCCTAACAACCGACACCGGCCCAGCTGTGCTGCTGCTGGCGACAGGCAGCACACAAACCCCTAGCACCCTCCCATCAGGACCGCCACTCCTCCATCGCGCACCCCCTACCCCACCCCACTGAGCCACCACGCTGCCACGCCCACCCCGGGAAAGGGACCTTCTAGCTGAAGCTTTCTTGACAACAAAACAGACCTCTGGTGCCACTGGAGAAAAACAGTTTTCTATGTTTCTAGCTTTCATGCCTCAAGGCATGGCGTCTGTTCCCACCACACTGGGTGCATCTCAGCTCAGAAACACCCTTGCACCAAGCTGTCCCGCCAAGCCCCCAGCCCCCCTGCCAGTCCTCTCGTCCCTCGGGCCCCTGTGGCTCCCCAGACCTAAGCAAACCGCCTTCCGTCTTCCTGGGTTAGGATCGCCCCAACCCTGGGGCCGAATTCTCGGTCCTTTAATGTCCCCAGAACACACAGCTAGCGATGCCCACGTCTCCCCACCCAGCGCCCGCCCCTTGCCCAGAGCTCCTGAGTAGCCGTCCTCAGCACACAAGGCAGCGCTGGACAGTTATGAAACTCAGTCCGGGTCTTTCTTTCCCTCTCGAGGCCCCAGCTGCTCATCTCTGCCGAGCTCAGCTCCCCATCTGATTGAAAAATTCCTCCAGAGCCAGCTGGGGCCCTCCAGGGACAGGGAGAGACAGGGGGCGGGAAGGGGGACAGGGGGGGAGAAAGGCGTGGTGGCCACCCAATCTCATCCCCTGCTTCCCCATCTGCTTTCTGCGGACAGAGCAGGCGGCCCGGACGTGGTGAGGCCCCCGACGCTGGGCTTCACCGAGTCCGGTTTCCACCCTTCTCCACCTTCCCCTGTGCAGGGGAAGAGTTTTCCGCTCAACCACTGATGCCGGAATGAATCCTGCAGGTTTCAGAGCTGCACAAACCAGCCCTTTGTGCTGCCAGCCTTCTTCCCCGCTCCCCTGACTCCCCTGGCCACCCCAGCCTCAGGCTCCACAATCTCCTTGGGGTCATTGTCACGGAGAGTGGGATGGGCAGTTTTTAGAGAAACCCTAAGCACCGCTTGTCTCCTGAGACCCCCCCAGCCCCTGGGAGCCCCGGGGCTACACACCCAGCATGGGATCTCAGGAAAGATGAGAGCCAAGCTCTGGCTGGATTTATGCTTCCGCTGGCTGGTTCTCACGTCCGGGCTCTGCCCCACGGGGAAAGGGCAGGGGCGACAGAACCTTCTGGCCCACCGCTCCACCTCCCTGGACCCCGGGCCGAGGTGACGCACTGGCCCCCGCTCGCTGACGGAGCTGGGGAGATGACCTGATAAGGGTCCCGCAGCCTCTGCTCCCCAGCCCCGCCCAGGACCCCGCAGGCCCCGTGCAGAGGGGAGGACAGGCTCCCCCGGAGGCTCTGCCGCACCTTCTGGATCATTCCCACCCTCACGGCGGAACCGTGAGAGTAGCAGGTCAGGCCACCTGGAACGCCAGAGCTGGCGGGGTCCTTGGTCAGCTTGGCCCTTGGAGCACCCGGCCTCGGCGGGACTGTGCCCGGGCAGGGGAGCTCGCCGCCTCCCGGGGCAGTGGTCACCCTGTGGCTGGGCAGGCTGGGCCCCCGGCCAGTTCCTCCTTAGAATGGAACCAAAGCCAGATCCTTCCTCCCTGCCGCTCCGGGGCCGCAGCTCAGGCCCGAGGTCCACACAGAACAGGTCTGGCTCTGCTTCCCGTGTAAGGCCCCCGCGATGGCCTGCGGCTCCTCTCTTCCAGCCAGGCTTCTCCAGGGGCCTAGACCGACCCTCGGCACCTGGTCTCAGGACCCGACTTGTTCCGCTCCGGCCACGCACAGTTTTCCCGTTTCTGGCCTTGGGGTCCCCTTTCCAGCCACCTTTCCCAGCTTCTGTCTGTGCCGGAGCAGAGACCACAGGACGCAAAGGAGACACTGTTGCTCCTGGTCCCTGTCGTCCCCTTAGAAGCTGATGGCCTGGCCTCTGGCCTCGGCGCGTCTCCCCTACACCGGGCCGCAGCCTCCGCGGGGGAGGCAGAGCTGGGCCACGCAGCTCCCTCTGGCTGGGGGACCCGGGCTCAGTATGCACGCTCGTGCACACCGCTGGCTCACGGCCGGCTTGGTGGGGGTGCCCACACGGGGGCCGGGGACAGGGGCAGGAGTGAGGATGTGCCCGGGTCCCCAGGGGGCCTAGATCCACTGGCTGCCCAGAGGCTTCAGGCGGCCTGCTCTGGGCCCCTGGCCCTACCTTTGCTACTGAAGAACCCTGAATCCTAACCATAAAGACGTGCTCGCATGCTGCTGCGCCGAGCCGGTGCGGGGCTCAGAAAGGCTCGCCTTCCCCACAGGAAGTCTGGGGTCGGCCTCACCCCTACGAGTCCTCCTTAGAATCCCAGTGGCTCTGCAGGGCGTCCCCGACACCCACAGCCACGCGGGGAGTCACGGGTGGCTCCTCAGCTCGTCCTTCCCTAAGCTCTCCGCTCCCTCTGCGTCCCTCCTCTGAACAGTGGCGCCCCGCAGGGCTGCTGGGAGGATAGGGTACATTTGGCCGGTTGTGCCCATAATCCTGGCACTCTGGGAGGCCGAGGTGGGAGGATTGCTTGAGCTCAGGAGTTAGAGGCCAGCCTGAGCAAGAGCGAGACCCCGTCTCTATGGGGGCAGGGCTCACACCCGAGTTCAATCTCAGCCCCTGCACCCGTGAGTAACACGGGGCACAGGTAGCACAGGTAACAAGTCCCCACTCTGCCACTTACACCTGCACATCAGGACACACCGCTCACCCTGCTAGGGCGTGGTCCCCCTGCGTTGTGGGGAAACCGGTCCACTCACCTCCCAGGGGACGTGGACATTAGAGGAGTCCCTCCTCCCTTCAGGTCCATGCCTTTCGCTTTCCACCCTTCACCCTCTCACCGCTGTCATTACCGGACTTGCAAGTCCCACGCTGTCATTTATCAAAGACTCTGGCTTGTGTTTACACACGTCCTCCACCCTGTGCCATCTGCCACCCTCCCGGAGGACATCGCCAGCCATGCAGACGGTGACCCAGCCATACCCTGGCCTCAGATCGTTGGGTGCCCGACTTCCCACTGCGTCTCCCCTACTCCACTTCAGCCACCCAGCCCTGCGGCCCACTCGGGACCTGTCATCTCTTGTAACAGCTCCTCGTCCAGACTGTCACAAGTGTCCTGCTCTCGGCCAGCTCCTCACCGTCCAGCCTTGTGGTTCAGCTGTTCCCACCAGCCCCACTCGCTCCCGTTACCTGCCGTGGCCTTCGGCTTTCTCCCAGTCGCCCATCCTGCCCTGCCTTGGCTTGGCTCCTATACCCACTTATGTGCCACCGCGTACCACTCACCAGCATTTTTGCTGAGACCCTACATGCCTTTGCCCCTCGTTTCTGGCCACCCCAGCCCTGCATGGAGCCAGGCACACGCTCCCTCTGCATCTGTTCCCAAACAGCCGAGCACGTGGGAGTGGTCGGGGGTCTGCGAGCCGGGCACGCCGGCTTCCCATAAAGCCATGGTCCGCAGCCATCAAACATGTCTTCGTTCCTTGCAGAAATCCTCTTGGTTTCCCTGGTCGGCTTCTTCCCACTTTGCATAATTATTCCAGACCTTCTCCATCTTCCCCGTGCCTCCAAACCCCCGCCCAGCCCCACTCTCAGCGGAGGTCCTTGCTTCCTGCTCCTCAGAGAAGACAGCAGCCACCAGATGGGAAGTCCCTCGGCCTCCAATACCAGGCAAATACCCAGACGCACGCCCTGCCCTCCGCTCTCCCGCCTTCCCCAGCTTGTCCCAGTCTGTGCGCGGCCCCCTCGGGAATCTTCCTGCGTTGATCATTCTTCTCAACCGAGTCATTTCTATGCCTTTAAATACATGCAACTAAAAGGGGGCGGGGGAGAAGAATAAGAAGAAGGATGAGGAGGAAGAAGATGAAGAGAGGAGGAGACAGCGTAGAAGGGACAAGGGAGGGGAAAGGAGGGCAAGGGAAAGGAAGACAGAAAACCTCTCCGCCTTCCTCCACTCCCTCCCTACATCTCTCTTATAGCCCAACTTATCAAAATAGCTGCCTGTACTCTCCACGAAAAATTAAAATTTGTTTCTATCTCTTTACTTTCTCTCTCCAAGTCATTTAGAGCTGCATAAAAAACATCACATAAACTGCACCTACACCTAAACAACAGAAATTTCGGCGCCCGGCGCGAGGTGCCTCACCCCTGTAATCCTAGCACTGGGGGAAGGGGCCGAGGCCGGCAGATCCACTACCAAGGTCAGGAGTTCAAAACCAGCCTGAGCAAGAGCAAAGACGCCCATCTCTACTAAAAATAGAAAGGAAACTAATGGGCAACTAATAATATGAGTACAAACAAAAATGAGCCTGGGCATGTGCCATGGCTCTGTGAATCCCACCACTTGGAGGGCGAGGCAGGGAGGACGCTTGACCCAGGATTGCAGGTTGCTGTGAAGCTACGGCCTGGATGCCACGCGCACATCCTAGCCCTGGCGCCAACCTAGATGAGACTCTCACTCTGTCGTCAAAAAAAAAAAAAAACCCAAAACCAGAAATTTGTCTCCCACAGTTCTGGAGGCTGAGAAGTCCAAGGCCAAGGTGGCAGCAGATCCTGTCTGGCTCTCGCCATGCCCTCGCACGGTGGAAGGACAAGAGCGCGCATCGGGCTCTTTTAGGACTAACATTACGCAGCCTGCCTCCTTAATTAACTCAGTCACCTCCCCAAAGGCTCGACTTCCTGATTCCATCACGTTGGGGGCTGGGATTTCAACCTATGAATTTGGAGAGGACACACATGTTCACTCCATAGCACCATAGCATTCTTCAACACAGCCCTCTGCAGATTCCCACCCCCGGAACCACCGAAGCGGCTCCCGCTGACGGCGCCCATGGCCTGCATGTCTCACTCCGAGTCTCGCCCGACCCGGCAGCGGCACCCCCCATCGCTTGCCGTCTCTCCTCTACCACTCGCCCCTGCAGCTTCAGAGACACCTGCTGCTTCTCTCCTGCCTCTCGGGCCACTGCTTTGTGGTTCCCTCTTCCTCCTCTGCTGATCCACTAGGCGTGGAGTCCTGGGCCTTCCTGCCGTCTACCTTCTCCATGGCTAATTCCATTCATGCCTGTGGCATTAACTACCGATTGCAGATAACACAGCGCTCTTTCATCCAGGTCTGTATATGCATGCACCTGTCGTTGGATATCAGCCCTGGGATGTCTCTCAAAGGAGGTGCATGCTCAATGGGTCCTCCAACTCATGGTCTTCCCAACCTTCTTCCCCTTCTGGAATCCTGGTTCCCTCCCGCTGCATTCTGTGGGTCCTGGGTGCGTCCAAAGAAACACTCCCTCCCTCAATCTCTTATGCCCAGCCTCTCTCCAAGTCCTGCAGATTTTACTTCCTAAATCTCTCTCAAGTCCATCCAATCTGCTCTGTCTTCACCACGCCCACTTACCCAGTCCAAGCCAGTTCTAGTGCCCTTAACTGAGATCTGCCTCACCATTCGGACCCATCCCAAGCCCTTGCTAGTCCACACTGCAGCCAGGATGTCTTTGCAAAACACATCTAACTACACCATTCCCTGCTTAGCCTGTCAGCAGCTTCCCACGGCTCTTACAGTAAACGGGGAACTTCTTAACTTTAATAACTTTTATGATTTGACACTCAGCTAGGTAATGGGTTTGGTCATGCCACCCGCACTTACAGTCTGACTCTGCCACTTACTGCCAGTGTGACCTAGGGCAAGTGACCTTCTGAATCCTCTTGTATCTCAGTGGCCTCATCTCTACAAAAGAGAGGGTATATGGGTGCCGCTCAATATTGTTATTGTGAAGAATAAACTTGTTCAAACACTCTAGAGTGCGGGCGAGGTGGCTCACAGGCCTGTAATGCCTAAGCTCCTCTTG